CCCAACTGCAGCGGTTTCATTGGCGGAAAGACGCAGTCTGACAACGCGACAAAGTTGTCCACTGACATGATTCAGGCTCTTGGCATTGATGATGGTGCTGCCTGGGACACAGCGGTTGTTGCCAAGAAACCCCGCAGAAAGAAGGCCAGCGAGGATGACGAGGAATACGTCAATGATCTGCAGCCAAAGGAACTCGACGAGGATGGAGTCAAGAAAATTGTGCCTGCTCTGCGCCAGTGTACTGAGAAATGGATTGCTGTCAAGCTGCTCAGCCGCATGCAAAATAGCAGTGAGAGGGTTGGCCATCGCATTGTGCAATTTCACGGTTACCAGACATTAAAGAAGACGTTGAAAATATGGAAGGAAGACGCTAATGTAGTGCTGCAAGTTCTCGACATTCTCCAAAGGCTACCGCGGATCACTCGAAACAAGATTCAGGAATCTGGCATTGAAGAAGCGGTCGCTGAACTAAACGGCTACGGCGATGAGCGGGTCGAAACTCTAGCTACAGAACTTCTTAATGCATGGAGCAAGCTGGAGGTTGCGTACAGGATACCTCGCATAAAGAGGGATCCAAATGCCGCCACACCTGTCCGAACCGAAAATCACTTCGAGCGGCGTGAGCGAGGTAGGGAACGATCGAGGTCTAGATCCAAGTCACCGTCTGCAGTCGCGCCGAAAGGCCCATCTGCTACGAACATCCCTTCGGGCCCTCGCGCCTTGAATGCACCCCGCGGTCCGGCCAATTTCTTTCCTGCTGCCCGACCAGCTAATCGGCCTCGACCGCCAAACAGTCTTCCTCCGGGTTGGTTTCAGGCTACTGCAGAGAATGGATTGACATATTTTTACAACTCCTCAGGCGTCACACAATGGCAACGCCCGACTCAGGCTGTCAACGCACTACCTCAGCAGAACAAAGCCAAATCCGACACACAAATGCTACAAGACATCATATCGCGCATTACCTCAACAGAAACACCCACTGGGAACTCTGCATCCACCACTCCGCAGCCTGTCCCTGATGAACTCAGAGAGCCGGCGCTGCGCGATGAAAAGTGGCGCAGTCTGCCGATAGAGAAGCAAGAAAAAATATACGAGGCGACCGTGAGTACATCGAGTTGATACGCAGTCTGTAACTGACATTTATAGCTCTCACCTCACGTCATGGCTGTAACCTCATCATACCGGAAGAAATTCGAAAAGGAAGAGGTCAAACGACTCAGCAAAGAGGTAGGTACTCTCTTCGATGTCTATGTCGACTTGCTAACCGTATTGGTAGGTGGCAAAGAAGCTCGTGCGCGGCGACTACAAATCTGGGCGTGTCAAGGACCCCACGGCTAAGATCAGCTCGAACCATGAGAAAACAGTGCGGAAATATGTCAAAGAGTTTATGGAAAAGGCCGTCAAGAAGAAGGATGAACGGCAGAAGATCAAGACGCCACAAAATGATACCATCCGTGGCACTTCTGATAGCCTGGCAGCCACGGTTGACGAAGCCTCTCTTTCCGACTCTGCCTCTGAATTGAAGCGCAAGAGAGAAGAGGAGGGTCGATTTGGCTCGCCGAAGAGAACACGGACAAGTTCTGAAACCCCACAACCCGCGCCTCCACCACCTCCACCACCGCTTGAGTCAATCGAAGACGCAGAGTTCAGCCTTACACCTATGGATGAAACCCCCACAACCTCGTTTCCAGACGCTGCTGATAGCTTGCCTAATGGGGTAAAGACAACTCTCCAACTTGGTGACTACGGTAGTCCGATGCAGCTCGCGACGCCTCCTACAAACGGCTTTGTTGATCAGAAGCAGCCACTTGTAAACGGCAGTAATGGTAAGCACACCCAGTAGCCCGCTTCGGGCAGTCCCTTTCTTTTTCGATTTCTGTGTTGCTTGTGCTTTTTTATCTTTTGTAATCAGTTCGAGATCAAAACACACACTGGACCGAAAAGGTTTCGGTTGCATAAGCATATCAAAAGGCGTTGGGATGGTTGAAGAAACCGCAGAGGTGGTTCTGTGGACTTGCTGCGTTTTGGACCGGCTATCGACTGCATGGAAGGCGGAGGGGAACATGGAGTTTTTTTCGTGACGAAAGTCATCAAAAGCTTGCTAACTGTATGGTACTACTTTTCTTCGCGTTCGTGGAATCTGGGATGGGCTGGAAACCACCACTCGTGTCACTGGTACTCATGGGTCAAATGAAGTGCGCCAATAGGTTGGGTATATGAAAGCATTTTAATTATCCATTCCAACTGCTACAAGCATGTAGAGGTGATGTTACAATTTTTCGGAAAATCGGTAATCGATAGTGACTTGATGAAGTAAGAAAATGCCCAGTGGTACGTTTCTTTGTGTCATGGCTACCCTAATAATCACCCTATTACCCCACCATGAACCGACATTTGGCGTGATGACCCTTGGTACATTGCAGCCTATAAACATTTGCTCTTCTTTCTGCACCAGCCCCTTCTGGACTATCGTACCATGCCGAAGCGTGTCGGATGCATACTTAGACTCTTCATTATGGCATCTTGACACATAGGGCGGATGTCCAAGGAATAAAGGACATGCAGAACCGACACACGTGGTTCGCTGACAACAAACTAACTACCCCGCGCCAGTAACTCTCCGTGACACTGCCGTGGCGTACGAGGCGTCTGCGGCGTGTATCGGATCGGATTGCCAAGTTTATCGTCTGGAAGGGGTTTAGTCGAAGGGTTCACAACGTAGACTAGATCTTAGAGGCTCACTTGGTCGAGCTTATGCGGGGATAGCAACGGGTTAGAGCCGGTTGCCCAAGTAGCTCTATCAGCGGCACCGAGAGATTGTCGGTATAAAAGGCGGTGGCGCTCTTTGCGAGGTATGCTCCTGGGTTTGATTCTAGTATTCTGTTCAGAGAGTTTCAATAGTATTCAATCTCTCTCTCTCTTTCTCTGGATTGTGCCATTGCAAGACACCCCGCCGACACCCATTTGATTGGCGTCGCGTCTCCCCGCACCCCGACTGTGCATCCCCAACATCTTCTTTGAAACCACGTTTGCACGCTACATACACCGACAGCTGTATACACAATGGCTTATCTTCTTCGTACTGCCGGCCGCTCGCGGGCAGTTCTTCCTCGCGTGAATGCTCACACAGCCTCAAGGGTGCCAACGGCGCTCAACAGACGATATGCTACCGCAGCCGCCGCAGTCGCTACAGACAGCGGAGAGCAGTCATTCTTCCCCGATGAGCCCAAGCAGCCAATTGTGAAGACACAGATTCCCGGGCCCAACAGCCAAAAAGCTATTGAGAAGCTCGGCAAGGTGTTTGATATCCGAAGCTTGAACATGATGGCCGACTATTCACGAAGCTACGGCAACTAGTACGTTTCTTATAATCGAACTTAGGGGTAGATAAACTGACTTTTTTTGAATAGTATTGCCGACCTAGACGGCAATGTACTTCTCGATGTGTATGCCCAGATTGCCTCTATCCCAGTTGGCTACAACAACCCATCTCTTCTTCTCGCAGCCACCTCCCCGGAAATGGCCTCAGCCATCATCAACCGACCCGCTCTCGGAAACTTCCCTCAGCACGACTGGGCCGACATCCTCGAGAGCGGCATCCTCTCCGTAGCACCCAAAGGCCTCAACCAAGTCTTCACCGCACAAGCCGGTTCCGACGCCAACGAGCTTGCCTACAAAGCCGCCTTCATGTGGAAGCGCCAGCAGCAACGCGGCGGTGCAGACGTCGACTTCTCTGCTGAAGATATCGCCTCGTCCATGAACAACAAATCCCCCGGTGCCCCTGACATGTCGATTCTCAGCTTCAAAACCGGGTTCCACGGCCGCCTCTTCGGCAGTCTCTCCACCACGCGCTCAAAGCCCATCCACAAACTCGACATCCCCGCCTTCGACTGGCCCCAAGCCCCCTTCCCGCAGCTCAAGTACCCGCTCTCCGAGCACGAAGCCGAAAACCGACAAGAAGAGCAGCGCTGCCTCGACGAAACCGAGCACCTCCTCACGACCTACCACAACAAGCCCGTGGCCGCCGTCGTCGAGCCCGTGCAATCCGAAGGCGGCGACAACCACGCCACGCCCTTCTTCTTCCAAGGCCTCCGCCAAATCACAAAAAAACACAACGTCCTCCTCATCGTCGACGAAGTCCAAACCGGCGTCGGCGCAACCGGCAAATTCTGGGCCCACGACCACTGGAATCTCGCTTCCCCACCCGACATTGTCACTTTCTCCAAGAAAGCCCAAACTGCAGGGTACTATTTCGGAAACGACGACTTGAGACCCAACAAGCCGTACCGTCAGTTCAATACCTGGATGGGCGACCCCGCCCGCGCTATCTTGTTCCGCGCTATTATCCAGGAAATTCAGCGGCTCGATCTTGTGAGTAGCACGGCTGCTACCGGCGATTACCTTTTCGCTGGCTTGGAGAGGCTGGCGGACAAGTATCCCGCTGAAATTCAGAATCTGCGTGGAAAGGGGCAGGGGACGTTTATTGCGTTTGATAGTGTGCGTAGGGATGAGGTGCTCAAGAAGGCGAAAGCCCAGGGGGTTAATATTGGAGGGTCGGGTGAGAGGGCGGTGAGGTTGCGGCCTATGCTTATTTTCCAGAAGCAGCATGCGGATTTGTTGCTGGAGAGGTTGGAGAATGTGTTTAGGGAGTAGATGTCTGAAGGGGATTTCATAAGTAAGGTGTTTTTGGCGTTTTTTTCTTCGCCTTTGATGTAGGGTATCGGGATTTAAGTTGGCCCTCTTTTTGGTATTGTGCATAAGAAAACCATGTTGGACTATTTGATAGTTATATTGTTTCCATTTCTTTCATGTTGTATCTGGGTTAGCATCTTATCAGAGTACATTGTGAGCGCCAGTTCTTCCTCTCTTTACTGAGCCCACTTTCCCTCTTCCGACACTTGCTCTATCCGAAGCCCCAGATGACACCTTCTCTTCTTTGTTCTAGCGAATAAATCTCCATCTTTGTCTTTCTATGACGAAGAAATCAAAGAAGATGCTCAGCTCGCTCCTGCCAACCTCCAACAAACATTCACCAATGCCGCAGTAGCACTGATATGGGCAAACGTCCTCGGCAGCGCCACATTACCCACATACGCCGGATAGTGCACCATGAGTTTCGCCATAACATGGAAGCCAAGCAGGTTAACAATCTGAGCATCGTTGGGCGCCATAATCTGAGCTAGAGCTGCAGCAAGAGCGAATGCTATTATCCCACTTGCATCAGCAACTGAACATCAATTCGGCAGTCAAATCCACCAGGGATTTGGAAATGAAGACATGGGGTAGAGGGGAAAAAACCTACCGGGAAAGTTCTCCATAAGAGCATAATGCGCACTACGTAGTCTGAGCGGCAGACCCTCGAGCTGATGCACGTACTTTCTCGGGTGGTCGTTGTCGAAGCCCTCGCGGCGACCCATGGCTTGGCCTGCGGCGGAGAGGGCACCCGAGGCACCGAAAGTCCAGAAGAGGTAGAGAGTGGCAAGAGCGGGGATGGCGCGACCTGAAGTTATGCCCGTGGTCTTTTTGGGTTGGTTTAGCCTGTGTTGGTTCTGTATGTGGGGTTCGGAAGATGGGGCTTACGTTGATTCCGGGGAGGAGCTTAATGATTGCATGGACGAGAGATTGGCATATACTCTCTGGGGCCGTGAGGTAGGTGCTTTTGCTGGTTGTTAGAATTTGGGAGTTGGAGGTGGGTGACGTTGCGTGTGCAGTACGTACGTGACTGGAACGAAGGCGATGTACATGGGCGCTGCAGCCATGACCATTGCTCCCGAGGGGTTGACACTGCGATTGTGTGTGTTAGTGGATTTTTGCAACATTTCTATTCGTACTTTGTGTCTCCCGGTTTCGTCCGTCAAATCCGATATGTGAAGAGCAGACGAGTAGAAATACTCACATGCCATTGCCGGCGGCCGCTTGCTTTGCCTGCTCTTGCTTGTCTGCCATATTTGTCTCTTCTTGTGTTCGCGTCGATCTACAGTCTAGTTGGAGAAGACAGGTCTAGACGTGTGTGTGTGTGTGTGTGTGAAAAAGAAAAGAAGAAGCTAATCAAGTCCCGAGGGGTGGAAGTGATGTGCCCGTCTACCGAAAAGGGCAAGCACTACCGTGGTGAATCGGGTATTAGGTAGGAGGAAGTGAGCACGAGGCCTACTATATACAAAGAAGACCATGGCCCCATTGCTCACTGGCACTTGCGTGGCCGATTATCGATGACGTGTGGGCCATTCGCATCCCACCTTTGCGGCGTATATAGAGGCCGAGGGGATGGGTGGTGTGTGTGTCAAGCGTCGGGACTATACCCTTGGCAGGTTCATTGGCCGGGGGTGGGGTCGCTGCCGCTGGCTTTAGATGAGGCAGCGTGGCTGGGGTCTGGACTAGGCCCTGTGCCTATCTGCGGGGTTCTATCGCATCCGAAGATGTACGAAAAGAGCATGCTGGGTGTAGAGTATTTGGAAGCGCTAGATAATTACGTTTGTAGCTGTCCTGTTTCGCACATGTGGCAGCCTTGGCCTTCATTTCCTCCATATCGAGGCGTTTTAATGCAGATTGACCATGTGCGGATGGCTGCAGATCCCACCTGCACTCATCAACTGGGCGCGCTACCACAATGGTCTAGCCCCGCTTGTTAGCCTTGTCCTTTCATGGATCAGCAGCAGATAGGGTGTTAATAGCGAGCACACAGAAGAGTCCTGTAGCATGACATATGAGGCTAGTCAAGTCGGAGCTGGACATGGCATTGTTTGAAGATCATATTTCAAGCCTCTGACCAAACCAGATAGCAATCGCTAAACTGTATATTTTAGGCCCCCGTCGATCCACCCGTTTCCCTTCTTCCTCGCGACAAACAACCGACGGAGAAAGCTAATTTTCTTCCCAAGTCAGGTTAAAACGTCCGGGCGCATTCTCGTACTCATTCAAGCATGTAATGACCTCGTCGGCTGTGAGAGCCTCCGACAAGATTCCAGCGTTGGTAGGCGCAATGAAGCCGCTCTTGACGGCATTCTTGACCCACTCAATCAGTCCACTCCAGTATCCATCGATGTTGAAGACAATGACTGGCATGCTGTGAATGCCCAATTGGTTCCACGTTGTAATCTCCATGAGCTCTTCAAACGTTCCGTAGCCGCCTGATAGAGCCACGAAGCCGCCACCAGGGCCTCCCTTGATGACTTCCTGAGCCATCATCTGCTTTCGTGTATGCATGTCCTTGACAACCGTTGTGCGTCCATAGATTGATTCATCGATAGTGTGCTTGTCGGGATCGGCAGGGTCATGGTTCTGCTCGAGGCGGGTGAGAGCAGCGGGAATGATGCCGTGGACGCTGTCAGGGCCTGAGAGCGAGACAAGAGTACGTGCTACTTCTCCCATGAGGCCCACAGTGCCACCGCCATAGACGAGCTTGGTGTTTGCCTTGTGTAGGGCATGTGCAAGAGCGCGGGCAGCTTCCATGTGCACGGGTGATGTGCCGCTCGAGGCGCCGCAACTATGGCAATTAGCGTGTGATTGGAGAGAGAGAAAAGGCCAATTTGCACATACAAGACGCAGACGACGGGCTGCTTGGGGGTGTCATTGGTAGTTGCCATGTTGTGCAGATGATGTTCGTATGTGTTCGGAACAGGCTCGGAACGAAATGTGCCAGAGAAAATGGATGACGGTATAGTTACACAAGGTTCAAGCCGGCGGTGCTAGCAAGTGGGTGTACTTTGGTGTTGTCAAGTCCAAGGGAGAGAAGAAAAGGTAGGCAAAGGACCGTGTTGTCGACTCATACACACATACATATCCGCACATATAATAGGCAGCAGACGCAGGGCCTGGTGGGCCTGTAGCATGCAAAAGACGTGCAGTTCGGTCAGCCGCATTGCGTCACCCCAGCCCAGCCTATGCCGGCATGCCGCCCGCCCATGTGGCTAGACCCTGACACTACCAGCCCGTCTTGGCCCGCCCCAACTTCTCCGCCCGCTCTGCCAGGCCATCTGTTCTCCCATCGCGACTCCACGTTTCTTCTTCTTGGTTTCCTGGACACCAATCTGCTCAAGCCGGAATTCCAATTCCGCACGCTGCTATCATGCCAGAGGCACAAGCAGCCGCCCAGGCGCCCGAGCAGGGCAAGAGCGCAAGTTGCCCCAACGCCCCTCTGTGCTGCAATGTATACTAACATAGCCCGCAGCTGCTCACGTCCATTGCCCAGAGCGTGGGCATCTTCATGCTTATCCAAGGTGGAATGAAGTACATTATGCCACAGGCCCAAAAGACTGCGCCCTCCGCCGCCGACCCGTCCCAACCCGGAGCAGTCGTCCAACCATCTGGCAATGTTGTGATACCCGCTTGGGAGCAGCGTCCACAATCCCTTGCGCCAGGCGTTCAATGGAGCCACATACCCTATGCCGTCGCACCCATGTGGCCTGTCGGTACTGAGATGGACATTGCCATGTACATCTCAGCCTCCGTCGCTATGCCGCCGCTCAAATCCATGCCCAAAGAGTCGCTCTTGATTCACGAGACGAACTTCAAGTATGGAGATTACAGCGAGAATAGAGAAATCGACCTCGAGTTCAAAGTACCCAAGGAGGTACAGCGCAACGCGACGCTTCTTGCTCACTTCTACGTGGCGCAGAGCGGCAGTGTGCTTGATCCCACGCAACCGGGCTACGATACCGCAAAGGCTTACCACTTCATTCGACCCTTGTCGCAGTACCAGCCCAAGAAGAAGATTGCAAAGACGAGGAACTTGCTAAGCGACATGCCTGAGAAAAGCGAGGTTGAGACGGAAGAGGAGAAGAACGCGCCCAAGATTGTAGCTAACTACTACCACCCCAACTTCACCGTGTCCCTCATCCCCGACTCAGGCACTGTGCAGTTCGCTAGCATGCATCCTGGCCCCCGAAAGTACATTACGCTTGAAGCGACTGGCGCGCGAGATGAGACGGGTCAGCACGGCTGGTACTACCCCATTGTCTTTACAAACACGTTTTGGCAGCTCAAAAAGGATATGATTGAGGTCAACGAAACCGTCACTACCCTTCCACTTCATGTAAAGCTCAACAACTACGCTCACTGGAAGTTTAACATCTTCGCCGCCGTCGATGAAAACCTCAACGCCAATGCCCGAGCTGCGGCCGCCGGTCAGTCTACACCTGGAGGTGGCGACGGCTCCGAGATGGAAATGTTCAAGGAGATCATCATCGACAGCAACTCGTACCTTCTTGCTGTCACCGCCGTCGTCTCAGTCCTCCACATGATCTTCGAGATGCTCGCCTTCAAGAACGACGTGCAGCATTGGCGCAAGAAAAAGGACAACGTCGGCACCTCTGTCCGCACCATCCTCGCCAACGTCGTCATGCAAGCCATCATCTTCCTCTACCTCATCGACAACAACGAAAACACGTCGTACATGATCCTCTTCGGCCAAGGCATGGGCATGGCCATCGAAGCCTGGAAAATCACCAAATCTGTAAACGTCCGCGTCCGCCCTACCGCCCCGGGTTCCCTCCTCCCTTACACCGTCGTCTTCGAAGACAAGCACGTGCTCTCTGAAACGGAAAAGAAGACGGAGGAATACGACGCCATTGCCTTCAAATACCTCTACATGGTCGCTATCCCGCTCCTCGTCGCCTACGCAATCTACTCCCTCATGTACGAAACCCACAAGTCATGGTACTCGTTCATCATCACCACGCTCGTCGGCTCCGTCTACGCATACGGCTTCCTCATGATGGTCCCCGCCCTCTACATCAACTACAGACTCCAGTCCGTAGCCCACATGCCCGGCCGCGCAATGACATACAAGTTCCTCAACACCTTCATCGACGACTTGTTCGCCTTTACCATCAAAATGCCCACCCTGCATCGCCTTGCCACCCTCCGTGACGACGTCATTTTCTTCGTCTACCTCTTTCAAACATGGAAGTACAAGGTTGATTATAACCGTGTTAATGAGTTTGGCCAGGGCGGCGATGACGAGGAGGTCGAGGAGAAAGATGCAAATAAGCCGCTGGCTGCGCATCCCGATGGCGATAAGTCGCTCAAGGTGCCCGATGCACAAAAGGTCCAAGAGGTGGCCAAGGAGAAGGAGCAGGCGGCTGCTGCTACGGGCAGTGAGAAGAAGGGTAAAGCGACAAAGAGGAAGTAAAGAGGACTAGAAAAAGGCTGTTCTTCTACCCTCTTTTTTTTTCGTTGCTCAGGGAGGAATTTCACGGGAGGAAAAAAAACTTTTTTGTTGTCGTCATGTAGTATTCCCTTTGAAGACTCCAAATGTAATAAATGGCGATGCCTGTTGTTTTTCCTCGATTGCACACACACAAAAATATATAATTGCACATGACATTATCAATTAGCAATACTATACACAAGAGTCCATTGCCTTCTTCAAATATACATGAAGCAAAAAAAAAGTTGACCTTGTTTACACAGTAAATAAAAGAGTTTTGCAAAGAGCTGCCACAACGCCTTGCAATGCTTTGAACATATGCTGAAAGCGAAAAAAGAGATTTTTTTTCCCACCCTCCCTCTCTGTCCCCACCCCTAGAGACTTGAAACGTATAAAAGTCGAGAAAAGAGCCGCCCCTTCAAAGGAAATCCCCGTATATGCATGTCGGGAATTAAAAACTGTGGCAATGTCATGAAAAGCCGGGGAGCTGGAAACCAAACCCAGGTACGGCCGGCGGAACTGCAACACCCTGATCAGCTCTGGGCGACACATGGCGGGGATCATTAGCGTTTCCTCGGTCGTGCTTGCGGAACTTGTGTTGGGCGGCGTTCTCAGGCCCGGGGCGTGCACCGCCAAAGTTGTTGGGTGCTGCATCGGCGCGCTCGTTCAAGTTCTCACGTCCATTAGAGTTGCTACGTCCAGCATGGTCTCCACGGGCACCGTAGCCCCCACGCCCGCCGCGAGGAGCATCGGTCGGCACACGTCGGCTGATGGCTGTGATTTTGTTAGCGGTAAAAACCCCCATGCGGCGAAAAGACAGGCATACCCTTGGAAGAAACACCGGCCCCAATCTCGATATCCGGCTCTTCAATAACCATGCCACCTTCGAGAGCACGACCGCCAGTTCCGCCATACTCAGCGGTCAATGCCCATTTACGATCAGCCTCGGTAAGCCGAGAAATGGGAATCACACTGATGCCCGTCTGGTAGTCACTGCAATCACGAGGACCAAATCCGACACCCCATCGCGTCTGCACCCATTAGTCATGTACATGATTACAAAGAATACGCATCCTTACCTGGCGCGCTTTAGACTGTGCAACAGGATCATTCAAGCTGTCCATGCCCTGCTTGGCAGCAAGAGCATCGGGGCGGGTCAACATCTTGACAAAGGCATGTCGCTTATCTTGGTTAACAATGCACGTTTGGACCCTACCAAAGCGAGAAAAGATGCTCCGAATCTCACTCTCTGTTCCGCCAGCACCGCCTACAAACAATGTACGACTAAGCACTCTGATATTATCGCGTGGAAGGGTCTCATCCCAATCAATATACTTGGACTGGCCATATGCTGTTGCCCTAGGCGGGCTTGGCTGTCGTCGCGGTGGCGAGCGTTGCCGATATTCACTACGATCATTACGTCCTCCTTTTTGTTTGCCGCGGCTACGGCCGCGCTCACCTCGCTCAAAGCGTTGCGAATTGCCTTCAGGGCCTGCATTTGGGTCGTAAACACCATATGTTGGGCTCTCCCGACGATTGGGGTTGGGAGGAGACCTATCCCCAGGCGATCGTCGACGTTGAAAGCCCGGCGATCGGCTACGGTCTCGCATTCTACTGTCTGTCTGATCATACCGATCTGTTTGGTTACCGTTGATTACAATTGACTGCCCTTGTGGGGGTGTCTGTGTAGCCACTGGAGGTTGTAAGGGCAACATAGACAGTCCACCACTCTGAGCTGTGGCTAATGCGTTCAAAACCTGTATTGCCTGATCGGGTTGGATTGAACCAGCACTCATGGCCTGTAGAATCTGTCCTGCGAGTTCATTCATTCCAGCGGGTGGGACAGGCAAACCGGGCTGTCCTGTTGTTACAGCAGGCGGCGGAGGCACAAAACCAGGAGGTGGAGGTGGCAATACGTTTTGTTGGAAAGGAAACGCAGGAGGTGCTGCAGGTGGAGCATTAGTAGGTATATTCTGGTGGCTAATGCCGGCGAGGGCAGCAAACAGAGCATTAGTGTCTTGTGATGGTTGCGCCGGAGGTGGCGGGGCAAGTGGCTGTGGGTTAGCAGTCTGTCCGTTGAAGGTTGGGGCTATGCCATTGCTCTTGGGTGGCTCTACAGGTAATGGAACGCCTGAGTTACCGTGCGTTAGCTGGAGAAAAGGCAACGCGTAGGCCTCTACCTACTATTGTGACCGCCATTCAGTTGCTGTTTGAAGGAGGCTAGCATGTCGTGTGGAAACGTCTGGCCACGCTCCCAGATGTCTATAAGCTTGGAAATCTTCTCCTTTTGAGTGTCTGGTGCAGACTGGATGAGATTCATCATCATGGCGGGTAGCACATCTCGCATCATCTGCACTCCTGAAGCATATGTTCCTGGCACGGCATTCTTGGACACGGTCTGGCCGGCCTGCTTAGCCCTCTCCACCCACTGGCGGGCGACTGCATCTACGACGTATAGCACTCCTAGCTTATGTGTGACGGCGCTGTTCTGAAGCTGCTGAGCGATCTTCTGGACGATGACGGGGTGGGACTACATGTGAGTTCAAGTCCTTAGTATGATGACCAAAGCGCGCAGAGGTTATGGACAAGGTCCTTGCGACTGGCATACCTGAATGTTGTCAACGCACAGTTGCGTGATGGCTTTGATCTTGGTGGGTGTGACTCCAGGCGGCTTGAGCGCCTGGAGGGATTGCAATTGTGTGCCTAGTTCGTCCATGGCTGCCACGACAATGTTCAATGTGCCAGATCAGAGATGTGAAGCGAAAGGAAAAGACGGCCCTTGGCAATGCACCACGGGGGCCAAAGCGTGTGGTGAGAGAACCGAGAAGGCAAACACGCAGCAGACTTTACTTGAAACCCACAAGAGGCGAGCCGAAGCAAGAAGATCTAGGCAGTAGTAGAGTACTGTACGAAGACTGTAGGCGAAAGGAGCGCTGAGCTGTCCCCTGACGCGGGCGAGGCGAGCTGCTGGCCCAGTCAACCAAGGACGCGAGCGCGCAGTTGGAAAATTGGCTGCGCAAGCGATGTCACCACGAAGCGCGATAGTCGCAGCAAGCCAGAGAGTCAATGGAAGCAGTGTGAATGGGCCGCGAGAGATGGTGGTGGTCTACGTCAAGGGCGCAGTTGCAGAGGTGAGCAGAACGTCAGAAGGCGAGACGAGTCGGCAAGTTTGCCAGAGCCACGCTAGCGGGGCACGTGACATGACCTCGGCCAAGCAAATGCACGTCTTCACGAGCCCTGCAGCGCGAGATGCAAACAGGATGCAAGCAGGACGCACGCCTGCCTCGGGCCTTGGGACATTTTGTACGAGTTGCCTCTTTGGCGCTGCAGTAAGTAAGCAGTCCTCAACGCCGGCCTTTTGCCCGGCCCAAGCATTGGAGGGCTCTGCCGACGCCATTTTCTTATTCCGGGCCTAGCCCTCGATACTTTGTACCTACATACTTACTAGCTAGGTACCTGTCCTTACACGGGGCTCGCGGCCACAGTAGCCCACTCCCATGCTGCTGTCCACCGCCAAGGCAACAAAACCAAGTGGCTCTTATGTAACACAGGCCGCCTGCGCAAGCCCGACAAAAGAATTGGCTGCGCTAAAGTGCGTGTTCCTGACATGGAGTAATTGTTGAACACCGGAAAAGAGAGACCTCCGAACGATGCCCGCGCGGGTGGTAGTTGTTTGGCCATGGCGGCATGGGTGTGCAGCCATGACGAGACCGTGCTGAGCTCCACCAGTATTTTCTTGCATCGTTCCGACGCAACCTTTTTAACTCCCTCCCGCCCATCCGACTTCTCATCATCCTTCACATTTCATCACAATGGCATCTGCTCTGCGTTTGTCAAGCGCTTTCCGCGCCGCCACCCCCCTGCGGACCACAGCCTTCAATGGCCTCCGCTTCTACTCCAGCAAGACTACGGTAGGCCCTCTACAGCCATCCTGAAGCCAATGCATCCGCTTACCCATCCAATTGCAGTCGCTGAAGGAGACCTTCGCCAACAAGCTGCCTGGCGAGATCGAGAAGATCAAGAAGCTCCGCAAGTGCGTTTTTGTCAAAGCCCGTATCCACCCCACTACCAGACTGACATCATAACCCAGAGAGCACGGCAACAAGGTCATCGGCGAGGTCACCCTTGACCAGGTCTACGGCGGTGCCCGTGGCATCAAGTCCCTCGTCTGGGAGGGTTCCGTCCTCGACTCCGAGGAGGGTATCCGTTTCCGTGGCAAGACTGTACGTGGTGACATTTTCATCCCGGCGCACACAGATCCGCCGCTAACACGCAACAGATCCCCGAATGCCAGGAACTCCTCCCCAAGGCCCCTGGTGGCCAGGAGCCTCTCCCCGAAGGTCTCTTCTGGCTTCTTCTGACCGGTGAGGTCCCCTCTGAGCAGCAGGTCCGCGACCTCTCTGCTGAGTGGGCTGCCCGCTCCGATGTCCCCAAGTTCGTTGAGGAGCTCATTGACCGCTGCCCAAGCGACCTCCACCCCATGGCCCAGTTCTCCCTCGCCGTCACTGCTCTCGAGCACGAGTCCAACTTCGCAAAGGCCTACGCCAAGGGCATGCACAAGTCGCAATACTGGGAGCACACCTTCGAGGACTCCATGGACCTCATTGCCAAGCTCCCCACCATCGCCGCAAAGATCTACCGTAACATCTACAAGGACGGCAAGGTCGCTCCCATCCAGAAGGACAAGGACTACTCGTTCAACCTGGCCCACCAGCTTGGTTTCTCCGAGAACAAGGACTTTGTTGAGCTGATGCGTCTGTACCTCACCATCCACACTGACCATGAGGGTGGTAACGTCAGCGCCCACACCACCCACTTGGTCGGATCCGCTCTCAGCTCCCCCTACCTTTCTTTGGCCGCTGGTCTGAACGGTCTTGCCGGTCCTCTTCACGGACTGGCTAACCAGGAGGTCCTTGTCTGGCTCCAGAAGATGAAGAAGGCTATTGGCAACGACCTCAGCGATCAGGCCATCAAGGACTACCTCTGGTCTACCCTCAAGGCTGGCCAGGTCGTTCCCGGTTACGGCCACGCTGTTCTCCGCAAGACTGACCCCCGCTACGTCTCCCAGCGCGAGTTCGCCCAGAAGCACCTGCCCGACGACCCCATGTTCAAGCTCGTCAGCCAGGTCTACAAGATCGCCCCCGGCGTCCTCACCGAGCACGGCAAGACCAAGAACCCATACCCCAACGTCGACGCCCACTCTGGTGTCCTCCTCCAGTACTACGGCCTTACCGAGCAGAACTACTACACCGTCCTCTTCGGTGTCTCCCGTGCTCTCGGAGTCCTTCCTCAGCTCATCATTGACCGTGCTGTCGGCGCCCCCATTGAGAGGCCCAAGTCCTTCAGCACTGAGGCTTATGCTAAGCTGGTTGGTGCTCAGCTGTAAGCACGTTATCACGTCGGGTTTTAGTGTCTTGAAAATATGGAGGAGTTTACTTGAGATTCAGAGATACCTAGTCCCTTGTAAATTATGAAATGTAAAGATATGAAAGGAAGCGCTATGGCTCCATCGCAACTCACACATTTTCCAATTGAGCGACGTACTGTAATACTACGCCTTGATGATGAAGATATATTAATCCCCGTAGCTTCCTATTTCCTACGAGCACATTGACTGTAACGGGGGATAGGCCGCGGAGGTAGTCCCAAAGCACCGAAAGCACTAAACCCACCCAATGGGAACAGAGCAAAAAGCAACCTAAGAAGAAAACTAACCGGAACACCGGGGTACACCCGCGGCCCTGGAGTTTCTCCCTGAGCGATGGGGAACCGATACGGACTGTTGGGCTGGGCCAGCCACCTACGGAATCCGAGAGCCGATGGCGACATGTTGCACCGTGTCGAGGTACAATGGTGCCAATTGTTTGCAGCAAAGTGGAAAGGAGAATTTAAATTCAGGGGATCAACCTGGCGCAGTGTGTGCTCGACGCCGCAAAAGTAAATCCACCACTCTCTCGGGAAGGCGGGCGCGGAAAGGGTCAAAGTCGGGTGGGATCGCTCGTGCGCCAAGAACCCGATAGCTTCAGGAACACCCCCAGTTATAGCGCCGGTCGGCGGTCAACAAGCAACACAGACCACCTTGCAGAGTTCATATCGTCTTTTTTCATGCTGCACCTTCTTCTCATTTTCTGCACACTTGATATCACTCATATTTGCGACGGAGCACCCTTTTGCCTTGGTCAGGCCCCATATCTTCGACAACAAACCCCCAGAGAATGAGTTCCAAGCCTATCACCGGCACGCCTGGCGTTGCCAGCGCTGCGCCAAAACTCGAGAAGAAGCCGGTCAAGTTTAGCAATTTGTTGCGTGAGTTGTCCAGGGCGCATTGGTGTCCGGAAATGTATGCTGATTGTAGCCGACAGTCGGTGCTGGTCTCAACATGTTCGAGTGAGTACACAGCCCACCTTGATGCCACACTTCGCGGAATCTATACTGACAGGACCGCAGAGTAACAACTCTGGGACAGGTACCCAACCCCCGATCGTATCTCGAAACAGGACTACGCTGACAATTGAGGATAGCCGTTGGAGGTCGTCAAAACCACCATGGCTGCCAACCGGTCTGAAGGTTTCTCGGGTGCCATTCGCCGCATCTGGGCCCGTGGAGGTGTTCTTGGCTGTTAGTCTTCATACCACGATTGGCCTCGTTTACTGTCTGACAAGCATGATTTCTAGTCTACCAGGGTCTCATTCCGTGGGCCTGGATCGAAGCCTCCACCAAGGGAGCCGTCCTCCTGTTCGTTGCCTCGGAAGCCGAATACTACGCCAAGTCGTTTGGTGCGCCCGACTTTGTCGCCGGTATCTCTGGTGGAATGACGGGTGGTCTTGCGCAGGCCTATGCCACTATGGGCTTCTGCACTTGCATGAAGACAGTCGAGATCACAAAGCACAAGGTCGCCGCCACTGGCGCAAAGCCCCCGGGTACTTTAGAAACCTTCATGCAGATCTGGCGCACCGAGGGTATTCGCGGTATCAACCGTGGTGTCAATGCTGTCGCAGTGCGCCAGGTAACTAACTGGGGTTCCCGCTTCGGTCTGTCCCGTGTCGCCGAGACTGGTATCCGAAAGGTTACCCACAAGGAGCATGGCGAGAAGCTGAGCGTAATTGAGAAAATCACCGCCTCGGCTCTCGGTGGTGGTTTGAGCGCGTGGAACCAGCCCATTGAGGTTATCCGCGTGGAGCTTCAGTCCAAGACTGTTGACCCCAACCGGCCCAAGAACCTGAACGTTGCCTCGGCGTTCAAGTACATCTACTCGAACAATGGTATCAAGGGTCTTTACCGTGGTGTTACTCCCCGAATCGGACTTGGCGTTTGGCAGACGGTTTGCATGGTTGCTTTGGGTGATGTGTATGTTCTATCCCTTATCCTAATGGCGCATATTTACTAACATTATTGTAGCGCAAAGGAGGCTGTTGAGAAACTCACTGGCGACAAGGTTACCGCTAAGCATTAGACGGCGTTTGGGTAATTGATCTGGCGGGCGGTATGATTAGTCTAGAATTTATGCAAATGTCTCGAGGGTGATCTCGGACACTTGAACTTTTGATATCACACGACAGGGCACCATTAACGGTCTACATTGCTATGGAATCATTAGCACAATAATATTATAATGTCTGTGAGGGCAAGAACTTTGTGTCCCTAGAGTGTTGTTGATTTCTTGTTTTTTTTGCATTCACACATGGAGAGTGTTTTGGTTATCAATACACCAGTTAGTTTGGTTGACCATTCTGAATTGAGTTTGTGGGGTAGTAAGTTTGATGCACCGACAACGCGCGGGGTCCAATCAGGAAACAGCGCTCGGCGCTAGTTCACGTCACAGAAGCAAACGGCCAAACTGGTTCAACTCACCTCCGGCAACACACTTTAGGCTAGGACTTTCAGTTCAAGTAAGAATGCAGCATATATCATGAGGAAACACGTCGCTTGTATACCAGCAGGGGAGCATCGTGGAAGCGGTCGGGTGAGTATGAGCTTCTCTCGTCATCTTGCTGCAGCCGTCCGTCACCTACAAAACGCCCTGAATCCATGAAACCAACGAAACCCAGCAGACTTTGAGTGTCTATTTTCATATGCCTCTATTGATTTCTATAGCAAATGCGTTGACCTATTAATCAGAATTATCAATATGCTGACCTGGAATAGTTCGAACTTGACACCCCATCGCCATTCTTGTGTGCATGGCGTTGCGACTTGACCGCGTTCTCGCAGCGACACAACCTGTATTTTCTTGCCGCCACAGATACTTTACACGTTTATCAACCAGGTTTTCCGGATCAAAGCTTGACCAAGGAGCCCGGCCTTGTCCTTCATCCACCCAAGACTGGTCATCGAGGGCAAGGTATCGATCCTTGGGAGCCTCATTCCATCAACCGCGTTCTTGTTGAATACCTTGGTAACGAAGAAGTCCTTCTTATCACCTGCGATGATGGCGATGTAATTGGCTACCGCACCGAGGTAATCTACCGAGCTTTGCAACGACGAACCGACCAAGGTGAGTCTGCTAGCGAGGATGGCGTTCACATCTTCTTCCATCGAAACGTTGGCGCTAGCGCATGGGGCTTAGCTGTGCATCGAGAGGCTCGGATCATTGCCATTAGCGCGAATACTTATAAGATCACTATCGTCGCGTACGCGCTCGCAGATCAAGCTGAAGAACCAGCGAACTCAGAGAACTCAGATAACGACACCTCTGAGTCCTCGAAGTCTGCCTCGCGGTCTCCTTTCTGTAGACAAAACGAGACCATCTTTCATCTTTCCACCACAAACAACCTACCGTCATTGTCATTTTACGGCAGTTCTGGACGTTGGCTTTTGAGTAGCTGCATCGATGGCAAGACAATACTATGGGATCTTCATACCAGGAAGGAAGCAGCTAATTACCAGATGGGATGGTGCAGAAGTGCGGAGAACTTGGACTCTACTCCTCGCTATGAATCACGAGGGTTTATGTGCAATTGCCCGGCTGCTTCAAGCGTGTTGCACGGAGCTTGGGGCACAATAGCACTGGATACGACATCAGCATACTACTTACCCCCCGCAGAAGAAGACGAGTTGAAAATCAAGAATGAGCCAAAAAGCTTTCGGGATGCGACGGCTCAAAAGAAGAAATTTACGGTTGCATCTCTTAACGCATGCATCCCGCCGTATATGGAGCCGAGTGGAAGCGAGGATGAACAGAGTGATCTAGACGACGAGGATACAGATTCTATGGAAGGTCAGACACAAGGAGTCCAGCCACTTGGTTACGTTCAAGGAAGTCTGGCACCGGCTCAAGTGGTAAGTGGTGACTGCTATAGTCTCCTCGAGACGGCGAATACCCGCATCGACCGGCTTCTCCTTACAGATATAATGGATGCTGATACTTCACAGCAAGCTATCCAGACTATGATACAGGCACACCAAAACCCGCAGGATGTACCAGACTTGATATTCAACATGATTGCTCCTGCCAGAACACTATTTAGTTACGAGCCAGCCTTGAAACCTTACTGCGCAATAGAGTATTCTGAAAGTGCCAAGTATCTCGTACGCATTGCCCTTGTGTTTTACTATTAAGGACTTGAATCTGAAATGTCGCAGGCCGAAGGAGAAGATCTTGATAAACCTTTTCTGATTCTTACGAAAGAAGAGATCTTTCTCGTCCAGCGCCCCTTTGTAACAGATACAAAGGATATAATCAGTCAGGTTACATCAATGCAGCGCCCGTTGCATCCCGGCGAGCGGATCCCATCGCTCGCATCGCAAGACCGACACTGCTACTTCTCTCAAATCCCCGAGCTAGGCGTCTTCATTGTCGCATCACCAATTGGCCGTGCAGCAATATTCTCACTCTACAGGACCATGGACGAAGACAGTGCGCACCGACGATACGGCTTCAAGCTTGAATACCTGCTGCCTTTTAAACAGGAGAATGAGAATCAGATTGCGGGTGCGCCGATTGGGCGTATGATTGGCGTGGCGGTTTCTCCGGTCCAGGGCATGTTTGATGGTCAGGGAGATGCAGATGGCACTACCGATCAAGAGCAAGGCGTGCATCAGCCGAGACGATGGCGCATTCTCATGTATTACATGGATCATACGGTGTTGAGCTTTGAGTTGTCGAAGCCGAGGGGGAGCGAGTCGCCTGATTTGGAGGAGTTGGTTGTGTAGGGTTGTTTTCCCCTTTTTCCTTTCACGTGTAGTATTTATTCATGGGATCACTCGGGCAGACTGGGAGTCTTTGAATTCAGGGTGTCAATCGGGAACTTTAGTCTCTTTTAAACTAATGGTTTGCAGTTATAAAATGTAACGGTATCATCGAAATGAGATGTCTAATAAGAACCAAGGATGTGTCCTATAATCCCCTCTAATATCCGGCATCCAAGCTTTTACACTTGAATGCGAATGTTAATCAGTGTTAGAAAATGTACAATTCGGTTCCCCGTCCGTAGACGTTCACGTGCCTCATGGTATGATGAAGATGTAACTTTGCCCATACTCTACTCCTCAATCTTCTCCGACTTCCACAACGCCCAGGCAAAAACAGCCATGAGCTTCAGTCCCGCCGCAGTCCACAGGGAGCCCGCGAGACCTACACTGCTATGCGCAAACAGGCCACCCATGCAAGCTCCAATGACCAAAGCAAGCGGCGCACCAAGTCTCCTATTACGCTCTACATTGGACATCTTGAACAGCTCGGGATCAGAAAACAAGTCGCAGTAGTTACTCGTCAGCACAACACTAGTCAGTCCATTATACTTGAGGGCGCGCGACGTAACCGCCTGCCCACTCGACTGAAACGCCACCGAAGCAAGCGGCAGCAAGACCTGCCAGTGCAGACCTTCACCCGTGTTCTTGCCAACCGTAGTAACAATCGCTGCGAAGACGATAAGCAGCATTTGGAACGAGTACGAGACAATTAGTACCCAGCGCTTTGCAGGGGAGAAGTAGCGATGGAAGCGGGCAAAGCAAAAGGAACCAGCGCAGAATGCGGCGATTGAGATGCCGGCTTTGATCCAGCGGATGCCCTCAGAGGGAGCGACGATGCCTAGGCCTAGGTAGACGGTGTTTCCTAATTCACCTTGCATGAGTAATTGTTGTGTCGTGTTTCAAGAGACGAATGGAAAAGGATTTGTAGTAGATAGGAATTAGAAGGTGTAAAAAGTCATGTAACATGCTCGATCATGTCTCAATAGACGAATGGAATGAGTCGTGGTAGGTAGATAGATAGATAGATAGATAGATAGATAGTAGAAAGTGTAAAAAAAAGTCATGGAAAACTCACCTGTTTGCATGCTCACAAACGAGCCCCAGATGAAGACAGCCGAGCTATCCAGCAGGCCTGTAATCATGTAACACAGGATCAAGACTACATCGGCCCAGTTTCTGTTGACGTTGGTCTGCATGTAGCGCCTCATGCGGTGCAGCGTGGCGTGTGCATCCGACTTTCCGCCGTCGGCGCCATTTCGGCCGAGAAGAGGCGTTTCCTCGTCTGCAAGGCTGCGCGTGACAGTGCTGGGGGCGGCGGTGCTCATGTTTTGGGCGCTTCCTTGCGCGTTGGAGGTTTCCGAATATAGAGAAGGATATAGAGAGCGAAGGGAGGGGGAGAATGGGGAACAAGGGAAAGAAGGCCGTCTGTCGGATCTGGGGGGTGATCCTTGAAAAACAAGGCGCGGAAGAAACGGCACTGGTTGGTAGCTTTATGTTGTCTTGGAAGAGCAAGATTTCCAGGTTTTTGTCTCTTGCCTTGTTTGAACCTTGAACGTTATCGGAAGTAACGGGAAGCCGGCTGGCGGTTATGCAGATCGTTTTTCAGGAACCTAGACTCAAGCTTCGGTCAAGGTTATCCAAGCTTCTGCTGCGCGGAGTTGTCGGCAATTGCAGGATAGCACAGGAGGAGGTTTGGCCGACCGGTGTAATGTGAGTAGCAACCTTCCTGTTACGAAGCGAGGGCGTGTTTTACATGTACAAGCAATAGCGATGTGCGTGCGGGGAAATGCTTGAAAGACGGGTCGAGAGTTGTGGAAAAATCGTGGATTGGCGTGTGCGCATTGATGCATGGTGATGAGTGATGTTTAGCTCAAGGTATTCATGGCGTCATCGGAAGTACGGCACTGGCCGACGCGTACTGCCAACCGCCGAACATGAAAAGGACGCGTTTTCCGGTTGAAAAGAGGAAAAAAATCTGTGTGCCATTCTCCTCAGCATTGGCTCTCAATTCATTCTCTCCAAGCCATTATGCATCTTTCGTCGTTGCTGGTTGCGCTCAGCTGCTATGGCGGTGCTCTTGCGGCTCCATTGGAGCAACAAGTACCATTGCCTGGCAACACAGGACACCATGCTGGGCCTCACAAGATAACCAACCCGTATAGGCCGGGTGTGAGTGATCCTTATGACAGGAAGGTCGATTCTCAGGGCGACAAGCTTCAGCCGCTGCCATACGTGAGTTTACATTTGACATGTATCCATGAAGACCACTAACCACTATAACAGCGAAATGACGACGGAGCAAGCGTCATGGGCCCTCGCAACCGCGCCCGTGAACGTCAGAACCCAGATCTCGTCCGTCCTCCTAGCACTGACCATGGCGCGATCCCCAACATGCGCTGGTCCTTTGCCGACTCCCATATCCGCATTGAGGAGGGTGGTTGGACGCGAGAGACCACTGTTCGCGAGCTGGGTACCAGCAAGGAGCTCGCCGGTGTCAACATGCGTCTTGAAGAAGGCGTCATCCGCGAGCTCCACTGGCACAAGGAAGCCGAATGGGCCTACGTGCTCGAAGGCAAAGTCCGCATCACTGCTCTTGACACTGAAGGCGGTAGCTTCGTCGATGATCTCGAGAAGGGCGACCTATGGTACTTCCCATCCGGCCACCCTCACTCTCTCCAAGGTCTTAGCCCCAACGGCACCGAGTTCCTCCTCGTCTTCGACGACGGCAACTTTTCTGAAGATTCCACCTTCTTGCTCACAGACTGGATGCGCCTAACCCCCAAGTCCGTCCTGGGCGAGAACTTCCGCGTCGCCCCCGAAGTTTTCAAGGCCATTCCTGACAAGGAGAAATACATCTTCAAGGGCTCCGAGCCCGGCCCCATCGACAAGGAGGTCCCCAGCGACAGCAAGGGTTACAAGAAATCCAAGCTCCAGTTCACCCACAAGATGCTTGCTCAGGAGCCCGTCAACACGACTGGCGGCCAAGTTCGCATTACGGACTCCACAAACTTCCCCATTTCCAAGACAGTGGCTGCAGCCCACCTGCGAATCCAACCTGGAGCGATCCGCGAAATGCACTGGCATCGTAAGTTATATAACCCCCATTTCCCTCCTTTTGTGTAAAAAAAAAGACAGAGGCTAACACATCCTCCCACAGCCAACGCAGACGAATGGTCCTTCTTCATCGCTGGCCGCGCGCGCGTCACCATCTTCGCCGCCAAAGGCACCGCGCGCACCTTTGACTTCCAAGCCGGCGACGTAGGTGTCATCCCACGCAACATGGGCCACTTCATCGAGAACCTATCCGACGAGGAAGACGTCGAGGTGCTCGAAATCTTCCGTGCCGACAAGTTCCAGGACTTTAGCTTGTTCCAGTGGCTCGGCGAGACGCCGCAGAGACTGGTTAAAGAGCATCTTTTCGAGAGTAGTCCCAAGGAGGCCGAGGAGTTTGAGAGGGCGATTAAGGATGCCGAGAGGGATCCGATTAAGGATGTTGATCTTGGTGAGGACGAGGATAAGGAGGAGTTGTGAGGTAGGGGGGGGGGGGTGATGGTTGTGGGATTAGCTTGCACATGCTTTAGGTGTTTGAGCGAGACATGGTTGACCTTGCTGAGAGATTGATGTTTGAGGGTAGGCGCAGGATACAACTTTACATATTGTTATTCATTTTCTGGGTGGGGTTTCGTAATGTTATACAATTCTAATCTCATTTTACCCGAAGCGAATTTTTTTTTTTGCTTACATTCGCAACTACCTTTGAATAAACGTGTACACAGCTTACAACCAGGTGAGCGATAATGCACGTGGAGTTGGATTGGGAAGTCAAGCTCCAACAAAAGTATTTTGACGATGTGGATTACACTAATCCCACCTGGGTATAGCCATTCCCCGTAACCATTGCTCAGGTGAGCAATCTAGTCTACATGGTCCTATCTCATGGAGAGACTCCTTAGCCTCCAGCCGTCGACATCTCACGCGGGAAGCTATTCATAGGACCGAGATGCCGGGCGATCAAAAGATGCTTCTTGGCAACGGGGTAAAAGAGGGTTCATTCAATACGATGGAACACGATCCAATACGATTGCTTGTCACCTGCCCTTGTCATCCCTGGTACACCAACGGTCGATATGGGCATGGTCGCGAGAGCTTACGTTAGTCATTTGGTGACGCGCACTTGAGCATATCACGAGGTGGATGAGCTTTGTTCTACTAGCTCCACAGTTCAGGAATTGCATCTCTTCCGAGCCACCGGAAGTATTCATGGCAATTGTGGCTGCCCAGGCATTTTGGGTTTCTGTGGCGGAGTAGCGCACCATAAGATGTAATCTATTATATCCTCCTGCAAGAAAGTTTCTACCCCCTGAACGAAATAAGATACACCCAGATAAGCAGTCGGGCGTCCGTGACGATGCAAGGTCCGCGACGCAAGGTTAACTATTTTCGTGTGCAGGACCTCCGTACTATGGGAGTGCATTGTTTAGTTCTTTGCGTAGCGTTGTGCTGCGGCTCATCACGCTGTCAAAAAGCATGTTTCGAAACATGTACCCACATGCCCATTATGTATGTACGCGTGTGCGCCTATCCACGACACGCAAGCCTCCAACACTGGTTGTGTGTGATGAGTCTCACAGCCTCAAGAGAGGCGCCGTTTTCGGAGTGGCCCATCTCGGCACAGGAGTAGGGCCGCGCTGACAGGGAACTATAGTTTATAGAAGAAGAAAAAAATACTCCGTTTCCACGGACACGCTCCCTTAATTAGTGAACGGCTGCTTGTCGATAGCAATCTGTGCAATCAATGGATAACGGAAAGCTTGCATGTTCCTACGGGACGAAGGGGCCAGGTGTCAGTGCGGTATTACCTTGGGCCGACTTGATGGGAAGCAACGTTTGATCTGCAATTCCAGGAGGGGACGAGAGGGGGGCAAGGACCCGCTGTTTAAAAAAGCCGTATGGCGCCCCCATGCTGATAATTGTTGGAAAGGGCACGTTTGACGCACATCAGGTCGACAAGGTCAGAGGCGAGTGGTACGAATACGCGCGGCTTAGACATGTGGAGCTGGTCTGATTATAGCGCATGGGGATCGATACGCGATTGGAACTAGGTTCGCTACCGCGACTCCTTTTCGTTTGCGCTTGTGGACGGGACAGATAAGTGGTGGAATTGAGCTGCTTGGCAGAGTACGAGGTGGCAATGTGTGTGGCGCTGTCAATAGGGGTGTAACCATCGGGGGGGGGGGCATGGCAGCGGGTGTCCCGCGTGCGCGTGGAGTGAGACGGTGCGGTGGTTATTTGAAGGGTGTGTGCTGATGCGTGTGATACTGTGTAAGTAAGTATATGTCGAGGGGAGAACAGGGCCGACTGGTCATGATGGGATTCGGCGCGCGCGATCCAGGCCTTGGGACGCCAACCCGAACAGTCGCTTGTTGCGGGGTGACGTGAGGTTCCCGTCTCAGGGTCCAACAACGAGCGGGTCCATGGCATTGGGATAATCATGAAGACTAGGCTTCATCTGGGGCATCCGGCCTTGGTAGTGAATTCAATCAATCTGACTGGGCCGGCTCGCCTCCATGCTGGGGTTGTCCAGATGCTTGGCAGAGATTGTGCTCCTTGGACCTGCCTAGAGCGAGCCCGTTCGCTGCTCGCGGCGTGTTGTGCGTGTGGGTGGCTGTCTGCGCCTGGCCGCTGCAAAATTGGTCTCCGCTTGTGCAAGATTGCCATTCGCCTCCACGGGCCCAGAGAACCGTCCTGCACTCGGCACGCGCGCCATAACGGGTCCGTCGCAAGCCTCCACGTCCCAAGGCCGAGCCATGCTACGACGCGTTGAGCGTCTCCTTTGTTGGCGTTTCAAGTCATTGGCACATTCCCCTCTCTCGCGTGCAATACGCCTGTCGGTAGACTCGTGTACCGCAACTCAGCCCCCTTCGGATGGAAACGCTCCAGAAGCTGCCAGGGCCATGCCCCGTGCACACGGCGCGGACGGGATGTCTCCCTAAAGGCTTTGACTCTCTCCTTGGTTTTGCAGAAGGATAGTCGGTCTGCCGTGTCGGTATATATCCTGCTGTCCCACGGATTAACCCGCCAACTCTTACTGTCCCCAACCAGCGCCAAAGAAGAAGAAAAAAAATGTCGCGACACAGGATCATTGCCCCGGCGGAAATCGAGCGACAAATTGCCCAAGGCGAACCGATTGTAATTCACGAGGGCTACGTCCTGAATCTAGGAGAATGGATTGACAAGCATCCGGGTGGTCGTCTCGCCATCCTGCACATGGTGGGCAGAGATGCGACCGATGAGATCAATATGTATGTAGTGCAGAAGACGTCCTAATATATACCAACCATAGTCCCATCGGATACAACTATTGCCGATGGTCCGGTCACACCATGTGCCCGGATGGCTGCGGAAGGGTTGTGTAAGCATCTCGGCGTCGATCATAGGCTGACTTGACGCCAGCTACCACTCCAATAGGGCGCTGTTCATGATGACAAAGCACCGCATTGGTCGCGTCCAGCTGCCTTGGGCCAACCTCGAGCCTCCAATTCGCTCGCCCAACTACTACAAGAATCTGGAAGAGAAGAAACGAGTGGGTGCCGTTCCTGAGGCTGAGAGGCAACGACGCGGTAAAAGCGTCGACTTGGGATCGGTGAGTCTACTTTCTATCCACAATCATACATCGAGCCAGACTAACAGGCAACAAAGGCTGCCGCTATCATTAGCAAAAAATTGATCGGAAAATCAGACACTTGTGTATTCAGGCCAAGCAGCAGGCCTGCAAGCGACCCGGAAAAGATTTCATTAATCGAAGATGATGCCGAAACATTGACCATCACTCCCGAGGAAGAGAAGAGGAGACACCGCGAGCAATATGCCACTGAGCAAGAAAAGCTAGAAATAGAAGAGGGTATCCGCGAGAACCCTTCGCTCGACGTCGAGACGCAAAAAGCCATCATCGAAGACTACCGCGCTTTGCATCAACAGATCAAGGACGAAGGCCTCTACCAATGTCGTTATTCCGAATATGCCAAAGAGTCGATACGATACGCTTTCCTTTTCGCCGCTTTTGCCGGCCTATTGTACATCAAGTGGTACCTGACATCAGCCATCTTCCTGGGTCTATTCTGGGTATGACCACAACTCTTTCACAATGCCAGTAAATGCTAATCCATTTGCAGCAACAAATCATGTTCACAGCACATGACGCCGGTCACCGCGGAATCACAGGAAACTTCGTTGCCGATACGCTCATCGGTGCTTTCATCGCAGACTTTTGCTGCGGCCTCAGTATCGGCTGGTGGAAATCCAGCCACAACGTACACCATCTCATTACCAACATGCCGGAGCACGACCCGGATATCCAGAACATCCCTCTGTTCTCCACATCGCCTACCTACATGAAGTCCATCCTGTCCTCCTTCTACAACTTCCAGTTTGTATGGGATGCCGCATGCGATTTCTTGGTTCCCTACCAAAAGTACCTCTACTACCCGATCATGGGATTGGCACGATTCAACTTGTACTTCCTCGGCTGGCTGCATCTCTGCTCGCCTCGCGCGGCTCAACTAGGTGCAGCTTGGTGGACGCGCCACGTCGAGCTTGTCTTCATGTGCTGTTACTGGTATCTCTTCGGCTACCTCCTTGTCTGGGTGACACTCCCCACATGGCCAATCCGCATTGGCTTTGTCCTGATCTCGCACCTCGTCACCATGGTTCTCCACGTCCAAATTACCCTCTCCCACTGGGGAATGCCCACCTCCGATCTTGGCCCCACCGAGTCTTTCCCGCAACGCCAAATGCGTACTACCATGGATGTTGAATGCCCGCAATGGCTCGACTGGTTCCACGGCGGCCTGCAGTTCCAAGCTGTCCACCATCTCTTTCCCCGTGTTCCACGCCACAACCTTCGCAGAGGCCAAGAGCTGGTCCGCGAGTTCTCGGCAAAGACGGGTATCAAGTACCACTGCTACGGCTTTGTCGAGGGCAACAAGGTAGTCATTGGCCGCCTAGAGCAGGTTTCACAAATGGTGAAAATCATGGTCGATTGCCAAAAGTACATGGCTGAGACAGGTGAGAGCGGTTTGCATTAAGTTACGCGCGGGCGCGAAAGAAAAAAAACGCTACTTTTCTTATTTGGAGCGTAGATTCTATGATATGGCGTTTAAAAAAACGTTTACTCACTTTGTAATTACACGAAAAGTAAGCATAGAGAGGCTATTGCAAAATACTACGAAGATTTCATGTCGAATTTATCTTGAGAACTTTGATTGACTAGAGGGGTTTTTTCATCTTGATATCAACTCCAATCATGATGACCGGAACCCCAAAGAAGAAGTACAGTATGTATGGAGACTATCTCATGCTAAGCCTTATTAGGTATGAGTGGAATATCCTTGTACCCCATATACATGAAATATCGTGCCCTGGTGGCCCCAGCTAGTCGTAACTTTGCCCCGTATTATTTTAGGAACTTGGGGGATGTAAGCTTCTAAGCTGTTCTTATCTTTACCCAGCTATCGCGCCTATCAGATCACTAGCCAACCTCTTAGATGACACTGGACGCACTTACGTTCACTTCCTTAGATGAGACCCCATGTTAAAGTGTCCAATTCACTAAAATAAAAGCAGGTTCACTGAAACTTCCCAAACGTAGTTTGAAGCCTTTTCTTTCCCTCAACCTGTTAGACCGCCAGCATCAATGCACCATGATATCCCAAAGTGTTATAGCGTGGACCTACTCCAAGACCAAAGTGTCAGGAATACGGAGATCAAGTCGGACCTACATTGATATTAACACTTGCAGTAAAGACCCGGTTTCCGGTAATCATAATCCATGTCAAGAACAAAGTAACATAAACCTATCGATTGTGGTAACTACTCATGCAGAACTGACCACGGGCAGGCTGCTGATTGATCAGAAAGCGAGCACAACGATGGTTTGTCGGCGGTACCTGCGTTAGCTTTCCAGTTTCCCTCGGTACTATCTGCAAGCTAACACTCCATTATGGTTTTACTGAGTGTTCAGTACCATTGCTATGTGCGCCAAGTGTTCAGTGACATTCAATCGACCATGCCGGAGGCCCAGCTATACAGCTCTTTTACTGATTTCTCCAATTATCAGATCTTGCCTCAGCTGCCCCCAGTTTTTTCCTACGTTTCCTCCCGACTGCACGGTCGGCTTTCATTTCCTGTCGACACCACCTCCACTCATCCACCGCCTCATCCCACACGCCAAGCAACAAGACGACCCCAACAGCCTCCGCCATGGTACCACAGCGTCACACTCGGTAAATCAGCCTATTCAGTGCGGCATTCCGCCAGCTAGTAACCCTGTAGAGCAAGTTTTGTACAGTTTTTACGGAACTTGAGTACCCCGATGTCCTTCGCCAAGGCAATTCGCCGCCTTGGCTCTGCGCCCAGGCATGCATGTGTATAGGCCACCCGACAGAGAGGATATAAAACTTTCGATCAATGTGTGCTGGATTGTTTCTTCTCTCTTTACTACCTTGTACGAAACGGCTGGCCTCGAGTTGCTTTATACATTTTTCGTTAGACATACAAGCTCAACTCGACAAATTAATCCTAGTCGCTACTATAACAGTCAATATGAGATTCTCAATCACCCTTCTCCTCGCTGCGGCCGTGGCAGTCGTCGCTCAAGACACCGTCTCTGCTCCCTCAAGTGACTGCGAACCCCACGGTGACCACTGGTAAACAGATTCCTCTCATAATTCCCAGTAACGAAAAGAAAAGCTAACTCCACAAAGGCACTGCGCCGACGGCGTTCCAGAACCCACTACTCCTCCCACCCCCGAGCAGCTCGCCAGCTTCTCCGCTGCGGAAGCCGCCGAGGACTCGACTCCTGCGTCTGCCATTGCCTCCAGGACTTCTTCTGGATCCGTCCTCGTCACTCCTTCTTCAACTCACTCCCATGACGACGATGACCACGACCACGACGACGACGACCACGTGGCTACCGCCAGCACATGCGAGCCCCACGGCGACCACTGGCACTGCCCCTCTGGTGTCGCAGAGCCAACCGCTCCCCCTGCTGCGGCCGTCTCTGGTACCACCACTACTTCTGGTGCCACTTCTGGCGCCGCATCTGCCGCATCGTCTGCCAGCCAAGCTCCCCAGCAGACTGGTAATGCTGCCTCCCAGATCGGTGCTGGCCAGGTTGTCGCTCTCATCGGTGCTGCGGCTTACTTCCTGTAAGCGTTTGTGTAAATGCTTTCACCCGGGCTGAGATTCAATGAGCCCCTATACGCATAATTTGGAATGGGTTTTTGATTGGAGCTTGCCAGTCGTTTTTGTACATAGATAATGATTATGGGTGTTATGAATATATCTTGGACTGGTCGGGTACGTGGTCAGTGACAATGAAAATAAGTACACTGCTGTTGGTTTCCCACTCATGGGAATTTGTTGCCATGTTGTGTTTTTGGCAATCTTTGCACAAATTTCTTCAGGGTAGTTTGGTCTAATCAAACTATACTCATTCGGGGTATTCGCATCTTCGCTTCCAAAAATGTGACTGGGAAAATAGCAATAGAGTTAGCAGCGAAATATATACAAAAGTACAGTTAAAGTAAACATACAAATTGAAGAAACCCCTGGATTAGAGCCGGTCTTACATCCGACGCATGACGCAATCCAAACAGTACAAGGGTGTAGGCGGCAACTAGGCTGGGCAAGGGAACCAGTGTCAGCAAGCTTACGCAGGGCTGTCCGTAGTACCACAACATCGGCATATCGATCTATCACTTCAACCAAGAATTTCTCGTTTTATACCAGTAGTCTCAGTAGTTGTTGGGCGCTCTAAAGTTCATTGTAGTAACTGTATTGTAGCTATATTAGTTCGGTACAACATAACAGCTGTGTAATCTACTGGTAAAAAAGTAAGATACGAGATAGCAATTTACTCCGCAATCTTTCGACTAATCTGTTATGAGCTTAAGCATCTTTGATTTCCCACATATTGTTTCTGGTACTAGGAAGCCCTGTATCTGACAAGTAATCCTTGTTATGTACCCCCCTTCACCACTATCCGGATACTCCTAGTCTCGACAACCCATCTTGTGCACAAGAATTCGTCCATCGTAATTACGTATCTGGGGGAACTACCGATCACCAAGATCCGTTCTTTTATGATCAGATTCTTTTCGTATCGTTCACAGACTCGTTGATCATCTATCGGGCCGTGTGAAACAATTTAGGGTTGTTTTCTGTGTCAGCTTACTCATATCACTGATAGCAGATGTACGAATGCCCACATGGGAATGTCAGGCGTGGAACGAGTGATACAGTTTAGATAAAAACTAGCTTGTTTAATAGTATCTAGTCGGAATAGACTGTGTAACTTTTTTTGGGCTGGAGTAAGGGACCATATAGTAGTATCTTTGCATACATGTGGTGTGTGTGTATTCGCTGCTCCAGCTCCCAAGTTAGTACCTATACCTCAAGTCTCTTGACTTTGATCTGTGTGTAAAGAGAGAGAGATAATATCTTCTCCTAGTATTTGTAAGATTGATAACTACAAGGACAAGAGGAAGATAGCCTACAGTCAAGATACGATGGAACCGCCAAAACTAGACAAGCTCTTATAGCACAGGTATTCATGGAAAAATATAACAATTTCCAAAGCGACCAGGCACTTCTTGGAAAAAAAGGAGATATTTTACACAACCTCTCTATATCCTCAACTTCACCCTCGTTCATTCACTCTATTGCAACAGTAAAGCAGTATGATTGCTTGCAACAGAAATGACCAGCGTGGTAAAAGCTCAGCGAAAGTAGCGCATGGTACAAAGTTATTTCCCTAGATGATTCCATGTCGAACCAGTAAATATCCCTGGCCGTAGAGTCAAAGCAAAAAAAGCCAAGCCCTTTAAAGCTAATATGGATTTAATCAGCCACCAATCTACACCGAGGAAGCGAACGTCACAAGTAGAGTAGTAGCAAACAGACACGTCGTAATAAGAAACAAAGGTAATCATCACATTCATAATCATATCTATGTGCAACCCGTCCCAAGCAGGTCGACACACTCGCTTTAAAAACAACAAGTACAAAAACCAAGATGTGGGGGGGAATATATGCTAGCCTTTCCTTTACAACCCAAAAACGCAGAAAATGCAGCAACGCCCTTTTTTTCCATTTGCAATGACGGGTTTGATGCATATGCCAATGAATGACTTTGTTGTACGACCAAAATGATAATGATGAAAAAAAAGGATTGTGGGGACAAGCAGGTTTTAAAACCCATTGAAGCCCATCATGATACCGGCACCGGCGATGGCAGCACCGCTGATCCATGGGTTTGCGGTTGCGGCTGGTGGAGCAGCACCACTGGGAGACTGGAAAACTGTACCGGTGATGCTGGGGCCGTTAACCCTAGGCCCACCAGTGCCGATTGCAGCCGTAGACACCGCATTAGGAACAACCTGGGCGTTGGGAACGCCATCAGCGCCCTTTTTGATTTCCTGAATGTTTGACGCAGTCGCATTGAAGTTTGTTTGGGCGAGGGAGATTTCGTTGTTCTCGATATCGTAGACGACATATGCGGAGCGTAGGAAGGTGTCTCCGAGGACGGCTAGGGAATCGCCGGCTGGGCCAACTCCGAAGATGCAAATGGGCCGCCCGCGGCTGACGGCGGCAAGTACAACGAGTTCGTTGAGGGGAACAGAGATTTTGACGCCGGAGAAATTAAAGTCGACCGAGCCTTGTCTGTTGGCCAGGTCGCAGTTGACAAAGGCAGCACCCTGCGAGGAGTCGTACTGGGCGTTATAGGTTTGGTACAGCGCATTGGCGACCTGATCAGGTAGGTACATCAAGGACGAGCCAGAGTCGAGTAAGACAGGCACGTTTTCGTCCTTGAAAAGAGAACCATCGTCACCGTTCTCTCCCATTCCGGTCAAAGCAACGACGAACTCGGCAAACTGGCCCCGTTCGGGAATGATGGGCAGCGTCTGCAGTTGGCCACTGAATTTTTCGGTATCCACGCCACCAAACAGAATGCTTCCAGTTGAAGCGTCCAAGTCGTTCAGCCATAGCGAATAAGCCATGGAATTGATGGCGCCGTCATCTCGGAGTTTTTCAGGCAAGTTGGGGTAAGGGTCCAAGCCAGCGCGGCCTACGGCGACCTCGTTGATGGGATATCCGATACCGAGAATGCCTTCTGTCGAGCTCGATACGTAGCCAATACCAAATTGCAAGTCCTTCAATGTCTTGCCTCCGAAACGAAACGTATCCGTGGCATAATCTCCCGATGCGCCTGATCCGTCTACGTAGGAAATGTTGAAGACGCTATTGACATATTTGTATGTAGACGATTCGTTTGCGTTGTATGTGCCTGATGCTCCGCACTGATTCCCGCCTTGCATACAGAGATTTGAGTTGACCGCGTTGACCCAAAGATCGCTGCTACCGGTATCGATGTGTAGTCGGAACTTCTGCGGTGGAGTGCCTAAACTTGCGTTTGCGAAGTATAGAGTTTCGAGGTTATCGAGCGTCTCTTGAACGGTATTTTGGCGTCTTCGTAACCGGTCGTGCGCGACTGGATTAATGACATTGCGGCGCTGGGTATCGAGCAGGACTACTTTGGGATTCTGTCATGGGCGTGTGAGCGAACATGTTTGCGTCGGTGCGGGAGGATTCGCTTCGCAAGGCTGAAAGCCGGGGTAGATAAGAGTGGCACCTACCTCTCGTGGGACGAACTCTAATGCCGCCGCAGCTGACACTAAAGTTGCCGAGAGTAACAACGAAGATTTCATGATGATGTTTTCTGAAAGTTTAATGCCCGAGGACTCTGCCAATAATCTATACCACGAGAGGGGAGGACCCCTGGTGTGGCTGAGTGAGATTTGATGCGCAAAGAGTGGGCGGCGGCTTTGGAGGGCGTTTCGGGCTGCTGAGGCGCAGAATGCAATTCAAAGGCAGTGGCAGGCTTGAAGCGGGGGAAACAGGGGGTGGCCGGGCAGTTAAAAAGTGAATAGCAAGCAGAAACACAGGCAAGGTGAAGCAGAAGCGCGCGGGCTGTCGAGGTTTTGACGCCGCAGGGGGGCGTTAGAGCCCGGGGTGATGACGACGCGTGTATGATGAGGTCAAGTCTAGATGTGTTACGGATTCAGCAGCCTTACGTACTACTGCTGCCCACGTAACCGCCCGAGCGGCCAGGCCATTTCAAGATACGAGCAGCCGATGGATGAATTGTTCTCAGAGAAGCACAGTGTGGCGGTGCCCTTGTTGGTGTACAGTGTGTACTACACCCATCATCCTCAGCCATCAGCCATCAGCCATGGTTGTGCCGATCCATCGAGAGCCGCCTCGCAACCCTGTGCCTGCACGCTGCTGACAGAGACAAGGTAGCGAGAGATGATGCCACATGAAAGTTTGAGGCATTCGGGCGGGGATCAGGATACAGTGTGTGGTGAGTGGGTGCAGGGCGTGTGCTACCTCGACAAGCCTCATACGTCAGTGGGCAGATGCAGGTGTCCATTTGGCGCCGTCCCTGAACCATCCGAAGCCTACCGACTGCGCAGTTTGCTTATCCCCGGCCTCCCAAAATGCGCCCCCGGAATCAGGTACATCCGCACCCGTTTTCTCGCATCCACGTTGCCCAAAGATAGTAAATCCCGCACCGTCGTCGTTCCCAAGACGTTTGAGCTTGAAACAACATCCACGCGCAAATCTATTCTCCGGCACGCGTGGGCGGCAACCATGGGGGTGGCGTCGAGGCGCCACAGCCGGATTCTGTGAACCTATCCTTTGGTCCACATGATTGCGCGTCATTTTCCACCGTGGCTGAGCGGTTAATGACTGACGACGACGACTATTCCAGCTTTGTATTGAAGCATCCGCCGTCTGCCGCAAGGTCGAGCGAGGTGTAGGTCGAGATGCATTTCGGGCCTATTGTGCACGTGACGACTAGTCCCCAAACGGTAGGCCCGTGAAAGCGCGTCTGCAGACCGTCGCGTCTCCCGCGTCACCCCTCCACGTCCGATATCCACGTCCCAAAATGTCCAAAGCCGAGTCGTCAAAGGCCGCTGCCAGCAACACTGTCAAGCCCAACCCCAATGCTGCTGGAGGTGCAAACTACGAGCTGCCATGGTAATTGACTATCCCAATTGCCGCCCTGGCCATATACACTGACACTTGTCCAGGGTAGAAAAGTACCGTCCCGTCTACCTCGACGATGTCGTCGGCAACACCGAGACCATTGAGCGCCTCAAGATCATCGCAAAAGATGGCAACATGCCACACATGATCATATCCGGCATGCCAGGTATCGGCAAAACAACCTCCATCCTCTGCCTCGCCCGCCAACTCCTCGGCGACGCCTACAAGGAAGCCGTCCTCGAACTCAACGCCTCAGACGAGCGTGGCATCGATGTCGTCCGCAACCGCATCAAGGGCTTCGCCCAGAAAAAAGTCACCCTCCCCCCGGGCAGACAAAAGCTCGTTATCCTCGACGAGGCAGACAGCATGACAAGTGGCGCCCAGCAAGCCCTCCGACGCACCATGGAAATCTACAGCGCAACTACCCGCTTCGCTTTCGCCTGCAACCAGTCCAACAAGATCATCGAGCCCCTCCAATCCCGCTGCGCCATCCTCCGCTACGCCCGCCTCACAGACGCCCAGGTCGTCCGCCGCATCATGCAAATCTGCGAGGCTGAAGACGTCAAGTACTCGGACGACGGTATCGCCGCACTTGTGTTTTCCGCAGAGGGAGATATGCGTCAGGCAATAAATAATCTGCAATCGACTTTTGCCGGCTTTGGCTTCGTCAACGGCGATAATGTCTTCAAGGTCGTGGATAGCCCGCATCCCATCAAGGTGCAATCGATGATCAAGGCGTGCCACGAGCAGCGTATTGACGATGCGCTGGCGTCGCTGAAGGAGCTTTGGGATTTAGGGTATTCATGCCATGATATTATTAGTACCATGTTCAAGGTTACCAAGACGATTGATACGTTGAGTGAGCATGCGAAGCTCGAGTTTATCAAGGTGCGTAGTCTCGCTTTCTAATCCGTCTCCAGAAAGAAAACAAAATTCTAACAGCACGTAGGAAATCGGCTTCACACATATGCGCATCCTCGAGGGCGTTCAGACGCTCCTGCAGCTTTCTGGCTGCGTTGCCCGCTTGTGCAAGATTAATATGCAGCCTCAATTATTTGCCCTGCCTACCAAATGAAAATGAAATGATAAAAAGTTTGTAGCAATGTTTATTCGACATTTAGCATGGCGTTTGGCGTGGACATGACGAGCCATATGATAGGGTAGCTCCCAACGGAATATTAACAGTCTTCATATTAATTGCCTCCAAGCGTGAATGTCACATTCAAACATGCCAGCAAATTCACAGCAATATTGCATTGTCATTTCACATTACTATCATTAGATGTGTTCCCTCGAGAAAAAAAAACACTTCTCGTGCTCTCCGAGACCCGGCTTAGCTAAACATACGTGGAGAGCACACTCAACTAGGACCTCGGCGCAGGAGTAGGAAACGGTTGAGGAAAGGGATACGACTGTGACGACGTCAACGGAACAAAAGAATTCGTGTGCGTTGCGTTTGCAGGGCCCGAAGACGTCAGATTGGCTGTAACTGGTTTCTGGCCCGTAGCGATATCGAAGTGGTTAATGGTGCGGTTGAAATAGGCCAGGGCTGCGATGGCTATAAGCAAGTAATCAAGGTTAGCCCATCATTGCATCTCAAAATTCCTGTGCTGGAAAACTATACAAGGAGGGCCAAACTTACGCTGGTAATAAGGAATCTCATGCCCGGACTCGTAGATACGAGCAAAGCTGAAATTACCATATTGACGGACCTCACCGTACTCTGTACCGTCGACAGTCATGGGCTCGTATCCCGCAGCGCGGAACTGTTGGCTATGCGTGTATTCCAGTGCCAAACTAATAGCCTGACCACCAAACCAGTTGCCTGCAGTGTTACTCGTCAGCACATCCATCCTCGAGTACAGCGGGGAGGTGAGGAAAGGAGAGGATGAAGAGATAGAAAACCCACAGATATAATCAGCATCCCCATACGCCAAGCTAACCCGCACATCGTGATTAAGCAGATACTCCAAATCGAGCCTGTAATTCGGAAACACCCAATCTCCACTACTCTGGAAAGCAAAATAGATGTTAGAGTTTGACAAGGTATAATTCACAGTCACGCCAAGTGCCTCTTGCACCTTTGGATCGTTCAGATAATTTTGAAAGTTATCGGGCGGCGTTGGATCTGCGGTCGGGTGACGGATATCGTACGTGCCGCGGCCACTATAGTAGTAGTATGGCCCTTCAACATTGTCGCGACACATGTTTGCTGATTCGGCGCAAAATGCCTTGACGCCAGGCAACAAATCTGCAGTTGTGATGCGCGCAGCGGGATCGAAGTACGACCCATTTGTGCCCGCTGCGATGCGGCATTGACCAATCTTGTAGCGGCAACCGCCAAACATGTTGTTTGCGAATTTGGCGTACGAGTAGACCGTGTCGTTGTAGGCTTTGATGCCGTATGTGTTGTTGACGGCGAATTCCGGGTACCAGTCTGCTTGCACCTCTACGTCGATGAGGGCATTGATGAGACTCAGACTGTTGAAGTTGATTTCGTAGCCCGGCATGCTTCCATTTTGGATCTTTTGGTTTTGATCGTCAAAGTAACGGTAGAAGGTGGGACCGTAGTGGCCGCCGTAGGATTCGGTGGCGAAATTGAATTCTCGTGATGCGTTTACAGGACCGATTTTGGCATCGAACTTTGGGATGGTGGCGAAGAGCGCTTGCAAAACGTGCTGTGTACGGTGTGTCGTTAGCTAGATAGTACGGTGAGAAAAGGACGTGTTCAAAAAGACTTACCCATACTCCTACTGCTGCAAGATCAGTCGTATCAACCGTGCCCCGGTTCAATGGATCCAAAACTGGCCAGACCCCAGAAGAATCAGAGTCAGTAACGTTGGGAATAAAATCTCCTGTGAAATCGTTGAAAGCGCCAACACCCTCTGCTTGGTAGCTGAAGCCTGTGCCGACCGGCTGTGAAATGTACAGCATGTTAGAGATATTATTCCAGCTGTATGGGTTATACACAGCCGTGATATTGTCATCAATCATGCAAGGTCCATTTTCCTGGAAGAGCCCAATAAGGGAATCGGATCCAGGACCGCCATTCAACCACAGAGTGACCGGGTCGGAAGCAGGATCTCTACGGGATTCAAAGAACCAGAAGAAGATGTGGACCTATATAGTTGTTAGTGGGAAAGAAGGTATCTAGACCAACACCAAAGCAGCTGGTAACATACATTAGGTGCAAGATCCACATATCCAGCATAACTCTCTACGCCAGGTGTTGTTTCGCAGATACCAGGGTTCTTGTATCGGATCGTGACATTGTTGGGCGCAGTAGCAATCTTGTAGCCATGGTCATCCCTGGGCAGCAGGACATGCTCACTGCGCTTTTCCCAAGCACCCTTCGGCACGGCAGCAGCGTGTGATGCGAGCAAAGAGAGTGCCAATAGCGGTGTGGCTACTGACTTGGCAAACATTGTGCCTGAAGAACTGGACAGCAATAGTAGAGAGAGTAGGACGCACCACGGTGTATTTAAGCTCCCTTGGAAGCAAGGCTTGACAGGCTTGTCCTACCCTTGGTGCATCCTCCTGTCTTTCCCTGCATGTGCATGAACTCATGAACTACTTTGACCTTGATCCGAGAGTTCCCATAGGAGGTCCAGTCCTACAACAAAGGAAAGTGGTTGGTCCTTGCCTCAATAAGTCTAGCCAGCGATGCAATACCCTAGCAATAACCTTACATTCCCACATGTCAACACAGACAAACCTGGTACTCTCACTACTGATGACAAAGTTCCTTACCGGCTAATAAGAGTAAACTATATTGGGCAGAGATGAGGTATAGAAGCTGGTTGGGCAATGGCGGCAGCGCTAGGACTCCTATGACGGAGGATACATACCTGAATGAGCGTTATGCTTTCGGTGTTTACACGGTCAAATTTTGGCGTGCATGTGTATAAATGCATGAGCAGGAACTATCCGGATATCCCGTCAGTAAGAAAAGGTTAAACGGCCTAGAAGGTCATGAGATGCAATGAGCTATAGCCGATGCACATCCGCGGTATTAATCTGAATCTCTGCCGTTGAGGCGGTGACAAGGTGGCGTAGTGGCGTGGTTGTGGGTGTGCGGGAAAAGAAGTACAAGATGGAAAGACATGCGGTGGAACGTTTTGAGAGTACAGATGCTGCTTTTCGGGCCGACCGGCAGGAGCTCTGGAAGTTACATAATAACATCAAGTACCTTGGTTTGTTCACCAAACTGTCATAGATACCCACACAAGGTTTATTCTACGGGGCACTCCTTGTCTCTTATATATGGTCATGTGATTATGTGAGACGAACTACCACTCATAATACCGCATAGCTGAAGCTCTATGTGACCTAGGTTAGGCTGGTTATAGACTAGTCTATCTATTAATACTACGACAGTTGCACATATATAAAGCCGAGGCTCACACATGAGGACAGAAGCAAGTTCATTTTTTTCCAGCGCTGTGCGCATGATTGCGAATACTGTCAGCCAGATAGTGGGAGTGTGCTTAGTGGGCGCTTGATACAGAATAACCCCCGTGTGTGTGTGTGTGTGTGTCGACACTATCAAGACTGGCGGTGCACTACCTTATCATTCCAACACTGCGTATGATTCTGGGGCGACATAATGACGCTCTTATTTCAGAACAAAAGGACAAAAGATTATGGTAACGAGGCAGTAGTGTCGCTCTCGTACTGAAACCTAGAGAAGATGCGCTTTGATCTACGTGATACCCCGATAGCAAAGCCTATCGCATTCACATCATATACTTGCTCAGATACAAGACGATACTAGATAGCTGTCTATTACACTACCTTAATATACGATTGATACTTATACTCTGACATAGCGTTATAGTGATTGAAGTCCATATCCGTGGTCTAATAAGGTGTACGCTAGTTGGGATAACGGTGAAGCAACGCGGACTAGGAGGGATCATGGGCTAATACCAGGGTGCTTCATATAATTAAGATAACTTGGCCTTATCCTAGATCTCAATATGCTCGCAATTCTTTTATGGGTTACGAGTGCGCTAGAATGTTAAGTGTTGCACAGTTGGCAGAAAGGTTTTAGGCATAGTTTTGTAAGAAAGCTATGGATATTTATTGACTATGCTATAGCCGTTTCAAAAGTTCATATTCCCAAGAACCTCATGCTAATAATCCTTAAGTAACATATATGTTCAATTTGTCTCTGCATATACTAACCGTATATTATAAGTAGGACGCAGAAGTAAATAGAATATTAGGTCTTACCTTGATGTTATAGGAAGGAATAGAGAATAAAGGCTGACCTAAGTAGTCTACTCTCCAAACTATGGTCTAGGTCAGCTTTTGAAATTTCCCAGAGTGTATGCCTGCATAACGACGTACAGGCTGAGCGCAAGAGGAATCGTTTCCTTCAGCGCATTCGTAGCAGCCACCGCCGCCTGGGCAAGTGCAGCAAAAGTTTTCCTCCCTGCAGAGCTGGGAGCAGTCCTGGCGGGACTTGAGTGTCAAAGCATTGACATGAGCTGGTGGTGCAGCGGCAACAAATGCAACGAATGTTGTTACGATAAGAGCAAGTGAGAACCTCATTTTGGATGAATTGATCGTTGGTTTGGCTTGATAGTATTGTATGAAACTGTTGCTGATGGTGATATGATGCTGGGTGTTGTTCGGGGTCTACTTATAGCTTTTTCTTCCAGGTACAGTTCTCAGCAGGCCATTTCAAAGTGCCAAACTTTATTCTTTGAAAGGGCATAAGTCTCCTCAAGGGCCTGATTCCCAGCCTTTACTGGGTTCATGTGGTGCTGCGCGTCATCCATCTCCTAGGAAAGCGTTCAGTTTCCCTGGAACAAGACGTCTTTTGCTTCTGGTACTGTATAATGTGTAATTGTGGTTGATTCTAGATTCACCCAACTCCGAACCGGCTTAGAAGATGTTGCATTGAATGAGTAGTTGTGAACCACTTCACCCCCTTTTGAGTACCACACTTCCTGTAATCTAAGTTGCAGACCCTGGCGATAACAACGAACCTCGGCGGCTTTCCTCGGTCTAGGAGACGATGTGTATTATTCTGAAAAGCGTTATACGAATTCTATCCATCTCTCGTTTAAAGATCAAACATATATAACCATTTCCTTATCCTGATAACGTCAATTCAGTCTTGACTCTCAATTTTGTAATGAGCATCATATCTAGTTGGCAAACGTTAATCAAAGAACGCAAACAACATGTCTAGTGAAACTTTTATTCTAACTATATCTTTTTTTCTTCGATATTACAGGTACTTTTATTTTTCATTTTGGAAACTATTCGAAATCCCCTAACCTTGCTCAAAGTGAGCACGGGTGGTACGAGTTGAAACAAATTCGTGAATAGCATTCCAGTTACGACAGGTGTGCATCACGTCGGACTGCACAAAGCTCCTCCCATACCATTGATACCAGATTAATGGTATTGGAGTCAAATCAGCATGACACATTAGTTGTTGTTGAATATGATCTATGCAATGATCTCGATGGCCTCTCTCTGGGTAACGTTCGTTTGTCTCGCGGTTATAATAATGCTTACGATCAAGCGCTCTTCGTAATTGCTCGACGCAACGTAATGCATAGAAGACATCCAATCCAACCATATAGCCGAGATGCTCGTGATAGTAGAGCCCATGAGACTTGCCAAAAGCTTCCTCTGCTTCTTCCTCTGTGACGATGAAGTATCGCCCTTTTAGCAACTGATCCCATACTTTATCGATCTCTGGACTCGGCGGTCCGACATAGATGGGTTCATTTGGATTATTGATGCGGTATCCAGTGCCGTTGTCGTACCATCGTGGACCTCCATAAAACATAGTTGGTTGCTCCTGAATAGACGACTTCGCCGGAGGAAACTCAGTCTCGAAACCAGAACTGAAGGAACTGCCTGGATGGCTGATATTGTAGCGGGGAGTTTTGAGGAGTATTAAAAAGAGAGACTCAGTGCTGCATGCGAAACTGCCTGCTAAAATGCACGCTGCTTATAAGCATGCGGAAGGCGGAATACAGCGAGTCGGTATTGTATAGATGTTGTCGTTCTCGTCTTGTCGAACAACTGCATATTTTGATTTCTTCAGGAAGCTCATGCTGATTTCTATGATGAATTTGCGGGAATAATGAAAATTAGGAGCGTCGAGGACTAGACGATTGATGCAGCATTTATACGAACACAAACATCTGATCTTGAATAGAAGGCCTCTAATTCATCGAATACTGGAACCGGTTCGTTTATTATTTATTTGAGAGGGCAGTATGCATACTCAATCCAGTCTTGCAACTCAGAGCCTTGTTCGGTTACTTTTGCCCATCTCTATTTCAAAGCTTATCTTTGATCAGAACTTAGTAAACAATTTTGTCCCTATTACAGCACCTAGACTCATTTAAATGAGTATAAGACGCTTAGTCTTGACAATCGCCTTGCAACGGGCAATGATAGTTGTAATAAGACTATATTTAATAGTAGGTATCCACACAAAGACATATGAAACATGAACGTTATAGCGAGCGATAAGATGTCACAGCTAGAAGAAAGATAAAGAACAGAGGACGATTGCCTTCCTCTCCCTATGCTAACCATTCAAAACCAGTGCAATACCCTCTACCATAACGCAATGTATGAAACATGAACCTGGAGCTTTCCTAGCCATCATCAGGGTAACGAGTGTACTCGCTCCGGATGCAGCGGCACTCTCTTCCCTCTGGGTACAGAAATACTGCCATTCCACCTCGCCTTTGAGAACTCATGTAGCTTCTCGAAGTTGCGGTAGGTATGCACCTGTTGCGGGGCAACGTATTGGCCGTATCCATTACGCCATTCGGTAGGCGAGATGACAGACGTCGCTTGGCACTGGATGACTTGTCGTAAATGATCAATGCATTGTACTAAAGGTCCACAATTTAGTGTGTATGTGTATAAAAGCTAAGAAAAAAACCACGTAGCTAAACATACGTTGATGTACCATGCCGCGGTACTTTTCCTCGGGATAGACGTCTCGTCGTAACGCCTTCCGCAATTGATTCAGGCAGTGTAGACAGTGGAAGAGATCTAACCTGTATAAAAGGTCAGTAAAATCTGTCAAACGGGTCTATATCTATGGAAACCTTACGATCCACTCCAGCCACCATGCATGTGAATAATCCCTATACTTCTCATAATCTTTACCCCCAAAGCTCAATCGCCTCCTTCTCAGAAATTGGAAAAGTAATGCGTAACCCCGCCCAATGATGCCATCCCACGCTTCATCAATTTCGGGCGGACGGCTCTCCAACATAGAGCGACGGTTTGAGAATTTCCTCGCCGTCGGGGCTCAAAATCCACGCCTCCTGTGAAAACTGTCTGCACATGTTCAAAACATTTCCGATGGTGCTGTTGAATAATAGGGCTCATGACAATAAAATTGAAAACAAAAAAAAAGCGAAAATGGGATAATGCCACAACTTACTGACGATTTTTTCTTTTTTGAATCCGGTATTGTAAGATCCATAGGGTTCTCCGTGGCGTGAGGTAGGTATGTTGTATCCCAACAACATTCCTATAAGCAGCGAAAATAGAATGATAAGCAATTGAGAAATTCGAGACCCAGAACTCTTATTACGCGTAGTTTCTCCCAAGGTCGTCAACATCTTCTTCTTCTTCTTCTTCTTTTGCGAGTAACTGCGCTTCGCCATCTTACTCTTCACCGTCAACCGGTCGTCGATACAACTGTTTCATTCGTATTTTGTCCCAGAAGTTTGTGGTTCCGAGTATTGTGCAGTATATTGTCATAGCAACAGATTTTCAGTGCCCTTTAAAGCACTGCTGAAGAGTTTGGTCTTGAGGAACATACATATATATATCGGCAATCGCAGTTGCGCTATAAAGTCTAAGAGAATCACGCCAAGCAGCGGTTTTTGTGGTTGTTCAATTACCCGCGCGAAACGGGGAAGTGTACGGGGTGTATTCTTGGAGACTCCAAGTCAAGTATAGCCCCGACAAGGACTCAAGCTCTTTAGTAATTTAAGGGAGAAACTTCACGATTTACCCCGCTTAGGCATTGCGTCACCTTAAGGCTTGAGAGTTCCAAAGCGGATACTTCAGCTTGATTGGATGTAGATCTGCCTCAAAGTATCCTTCTTTTTTTTGCCAACATCTCTTTTAATTAGGCTGTCTGCCCTTTACAGGAATAAGCGCTACTTCAAAGGTCGGCCGAAAGGGTCAGCCACATGTCTGATATGCAGCTGCATGTCGTTCCAGACTTGGTCAAGTTTCTGACTAATTATCGCCTACTGTACGTAGCTAGTTAGCGCGACTCTACATCCCCTCTACCAGGGACGACCGTATTACCATTACTTCAAGTCAACTTTGGTTGCGATAAAAGATGAATAACTAACTTAACCTTTTTCTCTCTATCTATTGTATACCATATCAGATTAATTATCTTAAAATGAATAGTAGGCTATACTCTAATCTACTAGGATTAGATATTCCAAAAAAAACACCATAGATAAAGTAGAAAGATTTAAATAAGAGCTTCATATAAAGATTTCAGACCTCTAGCTTAGAAATCTTTTTATAGAAGAGTGTATTCTATAAACCACTTGATTTATACAAACTTCACCTAGCCAACTACTCACGCATCCCCTAACCCACTACTCTCCAACCAAACCACCCCCCTCATACTCCCCATGCCCATATCCCCCACACCCGCAGTACTACTCCTTACATCCTGCACCACAACCACAGCATCCGCAAAGCTCAAATTATCCATCTCACAGTTCAGAATCTCCACATCGTCCGTATCACTCTTCCCCTTTTCAGGCCTTGCCTTGATCCTTGGTCGAATCTCCACGTTAGGTAAGAGCGTGTTTCCCGGTCTGAGCGGTATAAGTACAATCGGCCATTCGTGCTCTTGGTCTTCGGTGGCAGTGAAATGAGCGCGGCGCTGGCCGGCGACGAGCCATACCTCTGGGTTTGCGTCAATGGTGTAAACGAAGTCAATGGGGTCGGTGGGGTCGTTGAGGTTGGCGGCGGAGACAAGACTGGAGGATGAGGCCCAGCGGCGGGTGTGTGAGATGCGGAGAGTGGCCATGAGGGGTTGGCCGACAATTGCGATGGGGGATTGGAAGGTTGTAGAGGGTGAGTTTAGGGTGAGAGAGGCGGTGTGGAGGATGTGTGTTTGTGGGATAGATACTGTTATCACCATGCGCCGCGGTGGATTTGGCGACGGTGGAGCTGTAGGACGTTGTGTGGTGTGTGGTGATTCATCCGTCTCGAGACAGACGATTCGGTGTTTCTACAAGTATACATTAGTATCTGCAGAGCAGTATTTTCTTTGCAGTGTCCTTACTTCATGCCACTTTTGCAACCACGTCTGTGTATCATCACGGATGACAAGAGGTAAGCTTTCAAGACAGTCAGCCCATCCCATATCCTCGAAAGCTCCAAGGTCGATCCTTCCTAACAACGCTGTCTTTTCGTATTGCTGAGGCAGGATGCTATGCTCGATGTGATTGACAAAAGTATCAGTCAAGAGACGAGACAAGCGGTGAACTGGACTGTTCTCGACAGCCTCCGCAAACAACTTTCGCATACGATCCAACACATCCTCATTAAGACAACGGTACTCGACAGATAAAGATAGACTACCGGCAGTGCTGATCCGACTTCTTCGTTTCTGTGCGGCGTCCATGGCCTTCTTGATGACTTTGTACGTGACCGCCACTGGCTGTTTTGGGAACACATGCAGTGGTTCCTTTGGTTGTTTCGGTGCATGGACATTAAACTCCTCCGATCCTTCCAACGAAACGGCCAAGAGTTCCAGTGGTATGTGATTGGCAGTCTTGATGTTGAATTTCGAGAACAGTGACTTGCTCTTGAAATGATCATGTACATTGACGTCCAACGGCAGCTCAACAGGAATCACAAAGGACGAAGTGTACTGGAACTGGCCGTTCTCGGTAAAATAGTCGACGTCAATCTTGACGGTAAGGTCCTGGAGGATCGTTTCCATGTCGTAAGGTACTTTTAAGGTGGCTGCGGAGCCGGTTGCCATTTCTCCAATTGCAATGACGCCAGGAGTTTGCTTGTTGTCCTCGAGTTCAATGTCACCAGCCTCTATGCTTGCATCTGCTGTACGCAGCCGCAGTCCTGCAGAAGCAGACTTTAGTCGAATATCTGCACGCTTTATCGCATTCCAACCACTCGAGAATTCGACCTCAATATGACGCGGCTTATCGATGTGGATCAGATGCGAAAGATAGATGCGAGCTTGGAAAGCTTCAGTGCGCGGAAAGCATAGAATCCTGGCTTTCTTGGCTGCTCTGAGCGAGTGTGCAGATACAGATGTGATGATGCCAAGAGGTGTTGTTGCTTCGGTCTTCTGGAAAGGTTCGTGCACAAAGACGATGCGTTTTGCTTCCAAGACGATCCTATCCACCATGTATGGCCCAATGGTATTCACCTAGAACACGTTAGACTTCCCTATGAAGCGACACCGAGAAACTCACGTTGCAACCAATCCACATGCGGTTCAAGCCCTTCTTCACCTGGATCGTACCAGTCTCTTCAAGCCATACGTCCTTGGCTTGGTTGGAGACGGAACTGACCAGTCTGATCTTGGCTGCTCGAATCTCAATCTCATCCTCAAGGAGATGCCTGAATTGAAGGCGTAGCTGGAACCCATCTTTGTCCTCGTAATGCCGCACATAAGGTTCAACGGAAATATCGCTAAAATACTTGGCCATCTGGACAGTGACATCGTAGGGTAACTGTTGTGAATAGCCAACAATCTCGTGAAGTACATCAGTGGTATCCACGTTGTCATCGTTGAGCCATTCGTGAGAGTCGCCTGTTGCATCGATTCGCTTTGATGAACTCTTGGACGCCATTCGACTCGCCGATGACTTGGCCAACAAATCCAGTACTGTCCGCACGTATTCGTCTTTTCGGTTAAGTTTCTTTAGACAGCGTGCATGCATCTTAAGCATGGTAGCTTCGACAGTGTTCCACCTGCTTGTTGCGAAATACGAAGCCATACGTCCAAAATATGTTGCTGCCGCTGCGAAATCACCCAGCTCGCTATATCATGTAAGAACGAGGTATTGATAGCTTCAAGTGGCAACAAACTTACAATTTGAGGGCAGCTAAATCGCCGAGCACCGTCTCTGCTGATTTGATCTGGCCTGCAGCCATGTAGTGCTTCACAATCAGATCACTGAGCGTCTAAACCAAAGTCAGTAATAGTGATGAATATTGCACAAAATCACATACCTCGTAAAACTGTCGAAACTGCCCGAGAGATGAAATTGCTGTAAGTAGTGCCACAGCAGATATACCAATACGTGCTTTTTCGAGCTCAGAATCTGGTTTGGTGTTGGAAGCCTCCCTCTCTGCCGCACGTTCCGCCTCCTCTTCTTCATCCAGGCTGACGTCCGTCAGCTCTTCCTTCGCAGTCAGAGAGGTAACAATAGCATTCCATCCGATATTCCAACCCAGAGCCTTGCCTGCATGCTCGAGCAACCGTCGTTGAATTGCAAGAAGTTGTGCTCTTGTGCCAGCCAGTTCCTGCAGGCCGTTCCTTGCAGAAATAGTCGTGGCTGATTGCCCTGTAGCGGGCCGATCGTGATACTGTCCATTCTCAAACACCACCTGAGCATTTGCCGCAGTTTGGGAATATGGCATATCGGGGGTAGATCGCCCCTGATTCAGTGAAGAAGAACGAGAAGGAAGCTTGGGATCGGAGTTCTTGCTCTTTGACTCCTTGCTGCGACCGCTAAAGGAACGGCCCTTGCTTGTAGAGCCAGCGGATGCATCTCTAGTGGGCCTGTCGGATGGAAGAGAAGCAGTAGATGTCTCGCGTATTACCTGACCCAATGCAGCGAACGTCCATGAGCGAACAATGTTTTCAACTAGATGATTCTCAAATGTAATCTCATGCGCCTTTGCTCTGGCGGTGGGCATTAGTACCAACAAAGCAGTAGATGTTTCAGAACATACCCATTGATCAAATCATCTCGCAACAGTCTTCCAGCAAATGTTATGAAATTCAGCGCACGCGTGCAAAGGTCCGCAAGTGAGAAGAGATCTTCTGCATCCTGGGCTTGACCACCTGATTTCATACCAATGGCGCTATCATCGGTTGACTGTTGAATAACGCCAGCTTTGGACCGGGTCTGCAGCTTAGTTGCAAGATCTGAACGCGCTGATATTGAGTTGCCCAGCCTAAGAAGCAAGGACATTTGACGGGCGAAGATGTACACTCTAAAATCAAAGACGGAGATATTATTCGCAAGGATGAGACCACGATAGTCCTTTCTCAGGGCATTGATCGGGCTGTCGTCGTGAATAGCCAGTTGAGAACTGTTCGAATCAGCATCATTTTTCCCTTCTTGCTTTGCAAGTTCTGCTGCTTTCTGGTAAATGTCGTCAGAATAGCCAAGGAGAACGCTTCCTTGCGCCTGCTCGGTCGCCTGGTCACGGATTACACTGTCCAGGCCAATCGAGAGCTCATCGTACACCAGCAAAGCATCTTCCACCAGCCCTACACTCTCAA